CGCTGGATGGTTTAAGAGATACACAGTAGTATACTGTAGATGGTTCAAGAGAGTATACGCTGGATGGTTTAAGAGATACACAGTAGTATACTGTAGATGGTCCAAGAAGGAAATTCGCTAAAAACTACAAAGACTTAATATATTTTGTGTGTTTTTGCTTGAAGCATGGGGCCCCCTAAAGAGAACGGCCCTTGCAGCCGCGCTCTTCATACATGTCTAAGGCTGGCTCTGATAGCATAGTGATAGTCAATGGTTATACCGTGATAGCTTCTAAGGTATGAATAAGCAACGGTTTTGGGAAAACTTCACAAATAAACTGGCTAAAGAGGTTTATCATAAAAAAAAAAAAAAAAAATCAAGCAGCTACAGCATTCTTATTAGTATCCTAATAGGCAGATTTTTTAGCCTATGAAAAGATTAAGCACAAAAAACATTTTGCAGCAACAAATTTTACACCTTGGCTAATATGTTACTATAGGGGTAGCCTATAAGGTAATTTGGGTACCAATCATGCCTAAATAGGACGGTGGAACAAAATCAATATTAGATTTTCCATGTTTTATTTACATGTTTAAGATGTTCAATATCACAGAGTGGCAGAAGTTTCTGACAGATTAAGATAGAACAAATGACAGTCCAAATTTTGAAATAGGAAGAGGTATCACTTAATAAGGAGCTTCACTATTAAAATAAATAATTGTTGGTCAATAATCTATAATCCTATTACAATAAAGGATCCATACATAATCTCTGTTACATCCCTTTCTCAGACAACCTAACCAATTTTTACGATTAAGGTGTCATTTCAAAGCTTATGATCTAGCATACCTGCAAATACTGTAGTAATTAAAAATGGTTATTTCCTTTAGGGCTTCACCCCTCTAGCATTTGATTTTTTTTTTAATTTGCTTTCAAAGATTCAGTGATGCTAACCATCTTTCTTTATACTGTAACAGTTTAAATGTGAATTAAAATGTGAACAACCGGTCTTTCAGTTGAATGTTTCACCACAGTTAGATTGTAAACAAGAGACAAACAGTTTATGATAGAAAATATATTTTAAATGGCCAACTTTTTATAGGTCTAACTGTAGTCTAATTTAAATAGGTAAGTCACCCTTCATGTTGTAGATATAAAAGCAATAAATTTAATTTATTGTAAATTAGTAGTTTTATTCACCAAAACTGTCTCAGACAATACAATCTTCGAAATATAAAAGGGTATTGCATTATTTGTTTTTCCTCGGAATTGAATCATATAAAAATGTGCAATTTGCACACCGTACCCCTCGTATGTGTGAAAAAATAAACATTTTATTCATTACAGTAGTGGTTGATCGTAAATATATTCTTTCTTGCTCAGTGGCGGATCTAGAACAGTCACAAGGGGGGGGGGCGGACTAGGGTGTCTGGGGGGTACCCCCCTGAAAAATTTGTGTAAACTAAGTCTCCAAAATGGCAGTTTTAAACCATTTCTTTATCCAAAGATAGTGTGACAAATATTTTTAGGCAATTTGTATGCACAACTGCACTACATGCAGTAAAAAAAATATGTATATGTATGCCCGAGGGCGGGCGGTCGCCCTCCCTCTGGATCCGCCACTGTTCTTGCTTGCCCACAACTATTAAAAATCAATCATCTATTATATTGTGTTCAAGTGAAAAGGTCAAATTTATGGTAACCATTTAAGGTCGTTGACCGAAGGCCCTTCAAAATAAGTTTTGAGTGTCTAGATTTCCTAAAAATATAGAATTCCTTAAGGGCTCTATATTCCACAGGCTGATTTCCTAAAGGGAGGCCCAACATGCTTTCAAGTTTACATTATTAGTAAATATCCCTGTAGGGATGTTTAGCTACTCCTGTAGGTAAGACATAATCCTGGGACCGATTTACTTTTGTAACTTTGATGTTCTCAGAGGCCAAAACACTGTTTATATATTTTTATCCATGAACATGATAACACGAGTAATTTTAGTTCAATTTTTGATTACATTTGGCACGAACGTATAGGGCTGTATATAGCCTACATTTGAATGATTTCCCGAACCAGTAAGATCAGGTCATGGTAACAAGGTGCTGTTATAGGGTTTTGAAAACATTCAAGAAATGTTTTTTACCAAATTTCCACCCTTCAAACATAAAAATGCCAAGTTTTCATCACAATCATCATGTAGAGCTTTAAGAAACAAATCAATACCTAAAAATTTTGTATTCTGGAGTGTTGTTGTAGGAAAAAGGTTATGGAGCAAATTAAAAAAAGCTGTACCGTATATTTAAAATTTCCATGTTTATCTTATGGAGAAAAAGTAAACTGTTATGGGTTGCTTGTTAATGGATATATTTTGATGGATTTAATAGCATACTAATAACAATTTTCATATAAGATAGCCTAAACTAGGTTTTTCTTTCCCTGAAGCAGCAAACCTTCAGTCTTCAGTCAGGAAAATACCACCATGGTTAGCAAACTAAGTGAATTTAAATTTACCTGGCTAACTTTCACAAAAATATTCCCTTAACATTGTCAGATTTGTTTCATATTTAGCCTAATTTAATGAGTACAGTACTTAAGTTTGCTGCTACAAGTTTGAAATAATGTGTGTTTTTTTATTGAATTGATAAATTAGTATTAAATAAAATAATAGATTTGCCAAATTTCATTAAAATATGTCCATACACAATCAGACTAGGCCTACAACAGTTTATTTATCCTCCATAGGTCATAGGAAATTAAAATTTACAACTTTTGGAATTTTCTTCGTAACCGTTAGGCAATAGGCATAGCATACAACAAAGCTTCAACATACTAAATATTTTTTTTGTTTAAGCTCTAAGAAATGGTTTGGAAAGAAATTGCAAAATTTTATGTAGCGTCAAAAATGGGAAAACCGAAAACCTAATTTTTACCCCATAAAACCCAAAAAGAAACCCCGTTTTGATAATCTGATCATGCTGGTTTGCGAAGTCGTTCAAATAAACGTAGGTTTACCACCTGTCTGTTTGTGATCTCAAAACAAAAATATAAATCAGACCCGGGTCCAGGGCTTACCACGAGATACACGGTAATAACTTATTCCCTTTATGGTAAATTTTCTAAGTAGGTAGACATTTTATCATGTATCTCACAAAGTAAGCCTATGTGTTATTACTGTACACTGTTAGTTATAGTCCTCGCCACCCTAACTTGAGGCAGCCCAAGGTCGCACTAGATATACGGCCTTGGGCTGCCTGAAGTTAGGGTGGCGAGGACTATAGCCTATGTGAGCTTATATTATGCTGCAGTGAAATTGGACGCAAGTATATGTTTTAGCATTTTAAATAAATAAATAGCCAAGTACCTACAAGTTTAGATTTTATAGCCTATTCAAATACAAAAAATTATTGTTTTGAATTAACTTTAAAGCCTACAATGAGTAAAGATAATTTTAAAAATGTAGGAAGATACTGATTTGATTGAGGAAGGCATATTAAAAATCTTAGGAAAAGGTGTCTTGTGTAATCTTTTTGATTAATGGATTGCTTGCTCGCAGTAGATACTTCTGTGTATCATTGACTAGTCAATGACACTTCAAACAATTTGAAAATGTTTTTTTTATTGTAGGATTATTAATGTAAAGTAGCCAATAAAACTCTTTTTATACATGGTAGCCAGCAACCTCAGATGTCAAGAGTAAACGTTATAAAGGAATCATTGGTTAGACACAGTGGTGAAAAGATCTCCAACACACTCCATCTTCAGTACATCTTTCCCGTCACATGATTTTGTACAAGAGCACTGTTAACTATCAGTAGGTCGACCATCCAAATTCCACCACCACTGCTTCCACATGCACTGTCCCCAAAGCACTCGTATACCAATCCGTAGGCCTACACTTGAAGATTTCCACAATGCCTGCCTCGATCAAACACTTTTCAGAACCCCACCATTGAACGAATGAAAAATAGAACCACAAAACTTTCTTCCACATACTCTTTCCATTGGTTGCAAAGCATTGGTATAGCAGCTAGTTCACTAACAAAAGGAAAACATGTAGTCCTAGTTAGTGTCTTTACAAATAAACTGCATGACAAAGTTACAGGTGCCCTTCCTCTGGAACATAGCTCCAACCATGTAACAACTCCCCCAACAGGGAATGATGTTGACACGAAACTCAGATATATCAAACAGGCTCGGCGGACATGCCACCTGTCACAAAACCACCATGAGGAGACTCGCAAGGCTCCTCGCTGTTGAGCTCAGGAACCTCGGTCTGGTAAATGCACCTCTCTAGCACATGGGCCCAGACCTCAGCACCGTGTGACAAGAGCACTGATTGGACAGCAGAAATCAGTAGGCGGCGTTTGCACGAGCGGGGAACGCAGATGTTTGGCATAGGTAACTACTTACAGAGGCAGGGACTCCATTAGAGGCTTTGTCAATGATTCGCTTGATATGCTTGCCAAAAGACAACTTGCTGTCAGTCGTAGCGCCAGGGTTTTTGGCATTTCCATTTGGCTTGGTCTCCAGTTGGACATAGCCACTTGTACAGTAAGGACGATGGGAATCCTCTATTTTGTTAGGACCATTGTCTCAGCCTCAAGCTGTGATCCCTCATCCACTCGGAGCATCACCATTCCCGAATGGTTAGCCTTGCTTCCTCAACATTCATGTCTGAGACGAGAGCATCAACATCGTCGGCATAGTGTAACAATAAAATATAATAGGTCTAATGGTGTTTTTTAACAATAAATGATTTTCCTCCCCAAGTGTAAACACGATAGGCCTTGTCCTAACAACTTCATAACCTAATAGTCTAATTCAAAACAATAACTTACTATAAGGAATTGGTTTCAATTTGCACCGTTTTCAAAACCAAAAGTACGAAACTGGATAAGCCATTTTTTTTATTTTATGTATGCTATTATATGACTGTAAGAGTGTAATCCACGAATATTGGCGGAATTGTATTAAACTCAGAATCTTATAGGTTAGTTTTAATGCAACAGTTACTGTCTTGGCATACCTCTGTCAAACTGCTTTCCCGTTGGGTCGATATCTTTGACATTGAAAATATCTTCAAACAACACTCCAGCCATGGTGGAAAAAGCGACCAAAACTTTTAAATAGGAAAATCTTCTAAAACTTACACGAACAAAAAGGCTAAGCAATTTTAAGTTCTTGCAGACGACAGAAAAGGCCGGGGCCGACACACGACAGCCGACATTTAAACCAGCGCCTCTGTAATAGTGTGTTAGAAAAGGTAAGCTTTTTTCGCAAAAACAAAAACACTATTATTTTGTTGATATGCAGACATTGACATATTGACATTCATTTTGGGAACCCATTTTTAAACTAGGATATTAAGACCATTTCAATAGCACTTCCCAATCCATTCACTTGTAACACTGCTGTAAAACAATTTATGTTATGTTATTGTGAATTGGTTAATACTAGTGGCTTGTAGGGGCAATAATAGCCCGTATATGTATATTCTAGTAACTATTTTGTATAAATTTAATGTATTAGTCTCATGGGTTACCCTACCTTGAATTATCGTTTAACATTTGTGTATGTTAACACTGGTTTTTTCATATAAATGCCAACTTTTGTGAAGGTTTGGCCTTGCACTTAATTTATAATAATAGTGAAAGCTTTTTGCAATGGGAATTGAATCCTTGTAAACCTAAACGGCATATTAGGATCTGTAGATATTAGTTCAATTTTTGGCATGAAAAATATGTCCCCTTTGCCTACTCCAGTAATTAGTTCTAACTTTACACTTATTTCAGACATACCTACACAACCAATCGTACTTCATTAAATCCAGACCCTTAAATTTAGGGAAAAGTTTATTTCAGCTTTATAAATAGTACACATATTACAGTAATGACATTACATATTACCATATGCTTTAAATAAAGTTAAACCACATGTTTTAAAGTAAACAAAGCAGACATGACCTAAATTCCCATACTATTTAAATGTGAATTATTTTATTCCGTAGCAACTTTTTGGTGCACAATTAAGAAAAATGAATAATTTTCTCCATAATTTCATGCCCAGACCTTTAAAATGAGACCTCTCCCAGCTTTCTACGGCCTCCCGTTCGCTCACAATTTCATTGTAAAATTTTGGGCTTACGGAATTAGATATATAGGTTTAGGACCGGCTAGATGGTGGGGTAGTGGGAGGGAAAAGCCCAGGGGCCGGGGCGCACAATTTTAATTTCAGGATTAGTTTTGCCAACAGTGTCATTTGGAGCCTTTTATGATTGACTATAATGTTTTAAATCGAACAAATTGTTCTGTTCATAAAATAAAATTATGAATGCCTCAAATTCAATTTTGTAACTTTTAATTATAAAATTAAACTGTCATAACCTAACCAAAATAACCAGACTTGCTGATAATGAAAAATCTAATGATGGTTTTCGAAAATATATTTCTCTTCATAAAACAAAACTATAAATGGCTCAAATTCAATTTGATAATGTTTTAATTATCAAATTAAACTGTCATAACCAAACCAAACCAACCAAACTTGCTGATAATGAAAAAATCCTAGACAAAAAGTAAGTGTAACTCGTTCGAATAAATGTAGGTTTACACATTTATACCGAATTTAATTCAAAATCGGATCAGTTTTGCTCAAGTTATCGTGCTAACGGAAACATATAATATACATATATGACATTGATCTCTATTTTCAAAGAAATGTAGTGTCCAAGGGAGTATCAAATCTTCAAAAAGCAAGCTCTGACAAGAGGAGTTCCACCAGGCTCTGTATTAGGCCCGATTCTATTCATCCTATTGACTAATGACTTCCCCAAACTAATTGAGAGTGAAAATGCTGTTGCAATCATGTATGCAGATGACACAACCATGTTGATCAAGGACAACACAGCCCAAAGCCTGTACCTTAATTCAAAATCGATCCTAAATAAAGCCATCCATCCTCTACTCAATGAACAATGACTTAGCAATATACCCCACAAAAACTACAACTCTGAATTTCAATAAGAAAAAAGACATAGTCCCTCAATTAGAGGATGTAACAATAGAAAACCATACAAAATTTCTCGGTGTTATCCTTGATAACAAACTAACATGGAAAGAGCACATCAACCACCTAAGCAAACAAATCAGTGCCGGAATATATGTCGTCAGAAGAATAAACTACATAGGCGGACTATCCTGTGGCCAAAACAGCTTACTTCGCACTGGTAGAGTCGCATATTAGATATGGCTTGACAGTGTGGGGATGAACTTCAACTAAAAATATGAATCGAATCCATGTTGACTTATAGGCTTACCTCCGTCAGTAGTCCAAAAGTTTTTGGACTACTGACGGAGGTAAGCCTATATAAGTCATTATTCGTAGTCCAGGGGCTATCAGAATGAATAATATGAATCCATGTTCTTCAAAAGAAAGCCATAAGAGCCCCCGCCAACCTTGTCCCACCACAGACTTGCAGACTAGCATTAGCAAACCTAGGAATCCTCACAGTGGTGTCTCTCTACGTACTTGAAACCATAAAGTATGTGGATGAAATAAACCCCCCAAGAAACCAAGACCTGCACCACTACACCCGTCATGGATCCAAATTTGCCCTACCAGTTCACCGAACAACTCTTTGGGAAAACAACCTTCCTACACCGGCTGCAAACTGAGGAACCATCTACCTGACTACCTGAGAGACCTGACTGGCATGGCAACAAGCTACACAGGAGTTGAAGAAGTGGCTAATCGCAAGACCTTTCTACACAATAAAGGAATTTTACGAAAATTATGGAAATTAACACATACAATTCACTATTGTATTGACACTATTGTAATTCTTAACGAATGAACAATAAAGAATATTGTATTGTATTGTATTGTATGTTTATGTTTTATGTTTTATCTATGGTTTTATCTATGGTATCATATACGTATCCTGTTTTATATTTGATTTTTTTATTTTATATTATTATGTTACAGCCAGAATCTGTTTAAACCGTCAATGGAAAATAATACTTGTAAAATGAGTTCCATGACGACCGACTCAAAAAGAAAGACTTACAGTATATGAAAGTACGAAGTACTAGGATGAGATTTCAGTGACAGACAAAAAAGTAAAATTTAAGCTTGTGGGATATTTTGATTTTAAGAGTGGGAACACTGGTTGCTTAGCAACTAACCAACCACTGACATTGTGATTGTAGAGAATTGAAAATAAACAAAAAACAAAGCATCAAAAACAAAAACCGTCAAGTTGATGTTGATGTTTAGTTACTTACTAGTTTATTTTTATAGTTAGTTAGTTGATCTGCTGGCAAGTCAAAAGTGTCAAACCTGAAACGTTGTTGTCTTTCTTTCATCTTCTGTCACAGTCACAGTATTGATAAAGGGTTATTGTTGCTATAGTTATAGTTGTTGTCAACGAAAGTGCCCAGTGGTTTACTAACTATTTACACGCTTATTTCTTGTCGTACTACTTGTTGCATATTTTAACTTTTTGCTACCTTGCTACTATGTTTCTATCTTGTTAACCCCATTGAGATTGAATGAGTAGGCCTAACATCTCTTACTTAATTAATTCGACTATTAGACATTCTCATCAGAACTTTTACAATGGCAGAGCTTCCTCCGAGGAAAAATCCAACTCCTACAAGGATGTCCAAACAACACTTAACTCCTTTACAGACGCTCCTTCAAATGGGCTTTCCAAAGCATAGAGCGTAAGTAGGCTAGGCCTATGTAGAATGGGCTTACTTTTCTAAATTTTTATTGCACATGTAGTATTCAAAGCACGGTGCAGAAGAGTAACTTAAAATCTTGATTGGGGGGAGGTAGTAGGGATGGTGCTCTTTCTTTATATCTAAGTTATATAGGTAACTTATCCTATAAATTATTGCAATTTTTGCTAAATTTGTATTAGGCTACCAATAGGCTGCAATCGATTGTAATAAGTTACCACAAATAACTAATCAAATCAAATTATTTATTTGTCCATCAAATACAATACAATAATTTAGTGTACAAGTACAATTAATAGGCTAAAAAAACAAACATTAAAATTTAACATGTACAAATCAAACTAGCATAAGTTAACTTACATTTAGGCTAAGTCTAACAAAGGTTGGGTACACTTCCATATCTGTTGGCACAAACAACCGAATGAAAATATCGATCGATATATCGATTGATCGATATATCGTTTGGTTAGTTAGGTAGGTTAACCTAACTTAACTAACCAAACGATATATCGAATGAAAAAATCAAATAATTAATATTACTCATTTGGTTGTTTGTGCCAACAGATATGGAAGTGTACCCCTAAGGTTTAACTTAATAATAATTTAAAGCAAAAAGCTAGCACACACAAAAAAATTAGTTTAAAGCAAACAGTATCTGTAAAACAGTAAAAAGCAGCAAACCATGCTAGGCAAACAAAGCAAGGTACATTCGTATTATACACGGAGACCACCCTCATACAGCACGCTGCGGCGTTTAAGTTTTGTTAGGTTGGGTTATCATAATATGTTTGTAGGACTTTCCTCGTTATGAATCGAATGATACCAGATGAGTCATACTTTCGCCCGCCAAATCTCCTCCAATTAGGCTAAGTTCAGGTTGTTGATCAGAGCACGCGCATCACCTGTCCCCATGCCTGTATCTGGGTCAGTTTCCTGAGTGATGACTCATCTGGTATCGTTCGGTTGACAATAAAACAAGGAAAGTCCTAACTTATGAACATATTTATGATAACCAAACCAACATGTGGCCTAACCGCCGCAGCGTGCTGTATACCTACTTGGTGGAGTACCGTCAGCGTACAACAGCACCTTTGTGTCAAGTCTGAAATATATGTCGTTCATACAAACAATAAACAATAAAGGGACCTAATATGGAACCCTAGGGCACACCATACTTAACATGCACCACACAGGTCCTAAGTTACAGTAAAAGTTATCTTGATTGCTGATATAGACCTGCTTGTAAATCAAATGTACAGAGTACTTGGATATACATGAGCATGAACTGGTTTCTCCACAAAGAGTGTTATAGAGCAATTTTTTAAAGAATAAGATCTTCTAACCTTGTTTACAAAAGTAATGCTCATCACCCAACACTACAAATATTTTAGTTCTTAAACATTCATGCTTTTCTTTTCGATTCTCCATCCTGAAACTAAAATAAACTTGTACTACTAGTATGCTAGTATGAGGCTAGTGTACTCATTACAATAGCCCAATTTGATTGGTTTGTGAGTGTAAGTTATGTTTTGCAGGGGCCTTTTGGTCCCTCAGAAAATTCTTTGACATGACTGATCATGGGGTTTTGACAAAAAGCTGAACTTCTATGGAGTGCTGTTCAGTCGGGTGTTGTGTGTTGTGGTTGTGATGTAGAAGTGATTACCGGTACTAATTTGTTAAAATAAGACCCTGTAGTGTTGTACTTGTACACGTTGAAGACAAAAACCCGTTTAATTATACAAAACATAAAATTTACAGCTTTAATTGGGTTTTCCTCTCGAAAATGTCATTACATAAAAAAATGATGTAATTTATATTTAAAATAAAGGGCAAAGAACTTTTTTTTATTTATTAATTATTAAAATGAATCAATATGTGAAATGTAAATATATGGAGAATATACCACGTGGAGTATAAAAAATACTACTGTCGCAGTGCATAAACGTACCCATTTCATCCAATAGAACTTGAACCGCGCGCGACACTTTTTTGGAAGCTGCGATTCTAAAACCTGTCGGGGGTATTTAGAGATCGCCGATTCACTAACGCGACATTTTGTCGCTGACGCGGTGCATAAATGCTTAAATGCATAAGAACTTGAGTCGCGCCGCAACACGCGACTGTCGCTTGCATAAAACCGGCCTAAGGATAGTTGAATGCGGTGATTTCTTGGCATAGTATGCTCCAGTTCTACTTGTTTTAGAACGTCTAGTCCTATGCCTTTATTTCATACAGTTTAGAAATAGCTCAGACAAATACAATAAGAGAGGATGCACTTGTTTTTCTGTCACGCAGACTCTTATACAAAACAGCAGGTGAGGGAGGTAAAAGCAGTAACATTGTCTATTGGCTGCTTATTTCAATTGACTGTTCAATGCTTTAACAATGTGCAAGGTGATAAACAAGTACAGTACTAACGTTGTTCTGATATAATTTCTATTCACAGTGAAAAAGCGTTGGCGGCTACAGGCCACCGGGGAGTTCAGCTTGCTTCAGACTGGTTGCTAGCACACGTCAATGACCCCACATTGGATGAAATTTGTCCAAGAGAGTACATCCTGTATGCCTGTCCCACTGGACCCCTCTTCGAGCGGCTTCAGATTTTTTGGGAAAAATCTAGAACTTCTTGCGGGTGGAATGGCGCTCATAACTTTATACCTCATATCACATTGGTTTCTTTATTTAAAGTAAGTTAACTTTAGGCTCAGTGATAAAATTACTATTTTGGATCTCAAGAGTACAAAAACCCAATATTTTATCAAAAAATTTTTTATCTATCAGACACTATAGATAGACAGTGAAGATAGGTAGAAAGTAGCAAAATCATTGGCTCTTTATACTTCACGTTGGATTGTGTAGATGTTGGTGTTAGTTCTTAGCCAATCAATTTAAATGTTTTTTAGCTTCGGATGTATGTGTTTCTATTAAATTAAAATCTCAGGTTTTTAACTAATAATGTTGTTTGAAAAAGTAAGTACCGATACTTCATTCTAATATTTTACAACTTAAATAGGCTACTTCTTTTTAATATTTTAAAATTTGTAATTGGTTACAGGCTCCGGATGAATGTTCCCAGTATGTTGCCAGAACGATGTTGCAGATTGTAGAGTCACAACAGGCCAACCTTCCAGACAGCTTAAAGTTGGAACTCTACATGTCAGAAAATTTTATGGGGTTCTTTGTTGACAATAATCAAGCAGATATTTTGAAAAACATTGCCAAACAATTTGTCAAAGAAGTCTCTAGTGCAAGTAAGATTACAACCATCCATTGTATTGTTGAAACTAAACACGGCGGGACTACTTGTTACCCGAGTGTTACTGGAAGTTGTTGATTTTATTTTAAAAGTAGAATGTCAAAAATTGTCTGTTTTAACTTAAAAAATTGAATCACAATTTGATATTTTTAGTATCCAAATTTGTTGGAAGAACACAATCAAGCTACGTAGTTCACACTAGCTGTGTATTAGTACCACGGTTTGTTGTAGTTGCAAACATACTTATTATGAAGCTTGCATAGACACATTTTGTCACTATCTTAGTATAACTGGCTGTATACATTCTGTATCTCATTCCAGCCACAGAGAAGTAGCATACAGAGAAAACACACTTATGGAACAGCCATGCCCTTTCAGCTTTGGTATGTTGTGCCAGAATACTTGTGACAAGCAATGTGCAAAAATTCCTATCCCTTAGGGCGAAGGGAGGCGGTGTTGGACTTTGCCCCAGACACCAGCACTAGTGCTAGACACCACTATAGTGTACCATTGAATGTTTTCTCTAACTTACTTAATCCGGGTTCTAGCCTACCACTTCCTCTAGTGCCACTTTGCCTACTCTTATTCTGATTTGCATGCACATGACTCTTGTAGGGTTAGTCACATATTGTCATTGTCTTATTGTAGCTGGCAGTACTACACTAGAGGCTCATGTCAAGTCCCTGCATCTCACCTTAGCCTACCAGTTCCCAACTTCTCAATTTGCTCAACTTAAAGCTCTTGTTGAAAATCATCTCAGTCCAGATACCCCAAGTCGTTGGGAATTACGGCTCTATTCTCGTGACATCAGGATCACCAACAAGCAGGTTACTAATTAAAATTTAATCTATTGATCTTACCCAATTATTTCTGATATTGATATCCCACAAACTACTCTTCCATTCAAGGATAACTCTACAACCCCCAAACTCAACAACCCCCAAACTCAACAACCCCCAAACTCAACAACCTCTTGGACCACAAATTGTCCAGTTAGTGAGGTTTTACTGTACAAACTTAGAGACTAAAATTTTAGTTAAGGATAATTGTAATTTAATTCTGAAATTTCAAAAATTATCATAAACTTGTCACTATGAAATACAAATTAAAATTACTTACACACAATTTAAGTTTATAAGAATATATCATGTTGTGAGCGCAACAAGGATTTACTTATAGCAAATTTTTCAAGTTAAAATGTTATTCCCTTTGACCGGAAGATTTCTGGCCAATCAGGGGCCTACACTAGATGCCCCACTAATCACTATGATAAAAGCAACAGTGGCAGCATACACTTACTTGAAACTGAGATTCCTCATGTTGAAACAGCCTCAAAATATCTTTATGGTCATTAAACACCTAATATAACTCAATATCGGGTGGCCATAGTCTGGGAAAACCGGGAATTATGTGTGAATTTCGAAATTTCACTGGGTGTATTTTGATAACCTGATTTTAGAGCCTATAATGTAGATTTAAGACAATTTTAGAATAGTTTGACGCCCAGCGGCATAGTGTATTTGCTTGCGTAAATACTCATGAAACTCCATTTAGGTCCCCGTTCATGGCCATTGTTAAAACATCGCAAACATCGTCTGCGGTCATGCATGTAAATCCTGAACGTCTTCTATGGTTAAAATAAAATCGAGAACATCTGTGGTCATGGCAAAATAGTGAACAATGTCACGGTCACGGTAAAATAATTTTAAAAATCCCACCTGTGGCCATGGCCTAATTGTGAGCATCTTTTGTGGCCTTGAAATGATGAACATCTTCTGACGGTAAAATCAAGAATGTCTTCCGCAATCACACACAAATCTAGAACATCTTTCATGGTCACTAAAAATTTTACTATTGCAACACTGTGAATCACCTTGATTGAAATTAAATTATAAATTTTTGATCGAGCATCTTCACAAATGCTTTCCACGATTATGGAAATATGCGCTTGGTTCGACTCGATCAGAGCCTTGCACGATTATCATTTTTGGCCCTTACTGATCCCTTGAACCAACTGTTGGCCTCCAACAAAATATTGGACACCCACAGATCCCTAATAAAAAGATACACTTGGCAACCAGTTTTTGGTGGCAGAAAAAAATTGTATATTTTTTCCCCTGGAGTTCTGTAGCCACCATGTGATAATTACAGTATTACATAAATTGACATAAGTACTCGTGTTGCATCTTTATTTTGTAAAAGAGAACATAGCAATGATTCCTCTTTCAAAATCATTTTCAATTGTGTTTGGGAAACCTAATTCTAAATGTAAATACAGTATTGTTAAATAATTAAGGTTTTGTCGAATTTCTTTTGCATTTGATTGATTTTATTGATTGTTTGGTTGGTGTTTATTTTCATAATACTTAAATAATTTAGTTAAATTTTCTATAATTTTTTTCTTTTCTATATTTTTAATGCAAACATATTTTTATGTTAAATGAAAACATACATATTTAAAAGGATGTCCTAAAATATTGTTTCAGTTTGATATATTATTATAATAACTTAATCTAATAACAATTACTGAATGAGTCTGTTTACAGGTTCATAAGGTTTTGTATTCTCATGTTCCTAGAGAGCCTGATGAACTCGAGCTAATGATAGGAGATTTTATTTATCTAAACAAAGAAGATATTGACAAATCTCCAGATGGCTGGGTCCAGGGCGTGTCTTGGTTGACTGGTTAGTATTTACTTGCATGTTTGTTTTTGGAATAGCATCAATGACCTGCCACTAACCATCTTTAAATTAATTAGTAGTATATTCCGTGGATCCTGGCTATAACGATTCTCAATACTTTTAATGTAACAAACTACTCTGAATGACCATAGATAAAACATACTGCCTTAGTAGATTTATCATCCTTATGGAACAGCTAAAGACAATGAACAGGGTGGATAGCGGTATGACACCATTGTAATTTCTTAAGGAAACTGCAAATAAAGAATATTTTGATTTCATTTGATTTGATTAAACAATTAATTAATCTTTTAACTTTAACAAACATAGTTTTGAGGTGATAAATACTTAATGTTGACCCTTAATAGAAGGTATTTCACTAAGAATAGGCTAATTGCTGTAAAAATATATAAAAAAATGTAAAAAAGTGTCTTAACTAAATAATACTCCTGCTGCAGCAAACCTGCAGACTAAGCAAATTTCCAATTACCTGGCTGGATTGCTACTAAAATATTCCCTTAAAATTGCCAGATGTATTTCCTATTTAATAACATTAATTTTAATGAGTACCTAGGTTTGCTGCTACAGGGAAGGTATTGAGGTGTGTTTTTTTACTGAAATGTTGATAGCTTAGTATGAAATTAACAAAATTGCCAAATTTGATTAAAATTGATCCATAAACAAGCAAACTACAACAGTTTATGTATTCTCCATAAGAATAACGTGGGAAATTTAAATTTAAAGTTATTTAATCCTTATATATAATACGTGAAGGCTATTTCTACGAAACACTACTCCTCCGTTAATAATAGACGGATTTTTACAAACGATGTGTCAAAATAAAGTATTTTTTGTGTAGACGCCCCCTTTCACCAATTCCTGTAATAAAAAATCCTCGGGCTTTGCCCCACAGGCCATCAAAGTTGGAGTTTCTCCCATAAGATTAACATGGGGGAATCAAAATATTTAATTGGAAACTTTGTCCCCACTAACTTGAGAGAACGGCTGGGCGTAGAAACTTGGTAGAGGTGTCCAAAGAAAGGTCTTGGTCTGTAGATCAGTTATCAAAAGAAAAACTGAGCAAAATCCCTTAGGACTCTGCCCCAGAACCCTTTAAAGATCCCTCCACAGAGTTGTTTACATTTTGGCCATGTGAATAATACTTTTTAATGAAACAGCTGTTCATTTTAAATTGCATTTCAAACAACACATATTTATTAGGAGTTACTGAATTCTACCAAATAAGTATTTGCCATGTTATTTTCTGATTTTAAAATTGATTTTCTTCTTTATCATGTCATATTTTGCAATATAACGTTCCATTACGAAATCAATGGAAAATCCTTTTATCACAGCAATTCTTAAATTATTTCTTATTGAACTATCTTATATATATTGTATATCTATTGGTGTCTGCCTTTTTCACCCCTTTTGCCTACATTTTATCATACTATTCTACACATATCAAATATTTATGTAGAAATCTGCTCTTATCGTGTCTAATAAAATCTAAACATAGAAACCTTGCCTATAATGGTACCCATCTTGAAAAATTATCTGCACCTATATTACGGACTTTGGCGCACTGGGTTGGTAACATTGTTGAAAATAACACGACATTTTGGCTGTAAAATATGGTACAAAGAGAAAATACTATCTAAGCATTTGCTGTCATGACAGACAGGTCATATTCCTTTTAAACTAGATCACATAATCCTTAATAAGATACGTTGAATAACAATATGTAAACGTCAATATATACGTAACAGCCAGTTTACAGTATTTTTGCTCTTTGGAAATGTCCCATTGCTATGTCATTTGCATTATTTGTTGCTAATGAAGCCGCCAAGACCATATGAACTAGGAGGCCCCTAACAGTTCAAGAATAAAAGCCAACTTAACTTCAAGTATTTCACTACACCTAACATTCCGTAGAGAGATTATATTGACAACTTTGTGTTATTGATAAGACTGAGACAACTAACTGACATCCCCCATGTCAAGCAATTGTAGCTTTAACAGTAACCCCACAATCAATTTCTCAAAACTATGCTGGAGGGTTCATTCATTGGCACAGAAGTACGATATGAACTGACGCAACGTGACTAAGTAAAAATCAAACTTACATTGTAACGGATATACCTCCCTTTGAAGTTAGAATATGTCTTCCCAAAAATATTTTCTTTTCAAATAAAATCATACTACACTGATTCACTGGGAAGTGTTTAACTACAAAAGATCCACCAATACGATTTTAATACCATTTAAAGGTTCTTCCAAAGGAAGAGATGCCATATAACATACTAATAATAACTCCGATGATGTACAGTATGGGAAATATTAAATATTTTAATCATTGAATGATCAACCAAATTTGGCAACTATAACGCTATTAAACATTATTGTTTTTACCCTTATTACTTTTTAAACAATGATAAATGCTCAAAATATGTATATTTCGCCCAATTTATCGCAGTTAGATGAATTAACGTAAGCCTTGAAAGTAACCGTCGATTTCGACGGGTTTCACCTAGTTTAATTTAATCTCCGTAACCGTTAGGCATACAACTTCAATATACCAAATTACTTCTTTTTTTAAGCTCTACAAAATAGACTGGAAAGAAATTGTGAAAATCTTATGTTTTTAGAGTTCAAAATGGGAAAAACCAATTTTTACCCCATAAAACCCAAATTTACGTTCCCAAAATCCGATCATGCTGGTTTGCAAACTCGTTCGAATAAATGTAGGTTTACACGTTTCTACAAAATTTCATCAAAATCGGATAAATATATTTTTATATATTTTATATATTTTTTATATATATATATGAATTTGAACGGAGGGCGTTTTTGGCCTCTGGGTACCTCAAAACAAAAACTAAATCGGTCCCGAGTCCAGGTCTTACCATAAGTACTATGGTAATAGCTTATTCCCTATATGGGAAATTTTGCTAAAACAACTTTTAACAATACATACAGCTGATTCAAATCATTAAATCAAACCGTAACGAAACACTAGCTTGTGTAGTGAATAAATGAAGAACTAATCGAGAGCGAGGGATTGCTTGAGTTATCGTGCTAACGGACATATAAATATATGAATTTAAACGGAGGGTGTTTTTAGCCTCTGGGGACCTTAAATCGAAAAAAAAAAATTGGTCCCGGCTCTAGGTCTTACCATGAGAACTACGGTACAGTACCTAACCTAATAGCTTATTCCCTATATGGGAAATTCGCTAAAAACATAGTAAGTATGTACAGTATTTGGATTTTTGAACTTCAGGCTGAAATATTTAAAATGGTTGAGATATACTGTACTTCAATAATACCTGTTATTTCATGTTCTACAATTCAAAGGTTGTATTGTGTGAATATTGTTCATGAGTTAATGTTCCAAAAATACAACCATAGTTAAACATTTTTATGAGAGCATATTGATATTTTTTTATTTTTTCCAGGATGTACTGGATACTTACCAATCAACTACACAGAACATACTGCAGAGTCGGATGCATGGACATTACACAAGTATGTGGATAAATTCTTCATAAACTTATAAATATTTTTATTTTACAAGCTTACAGTAGACTCTCGCTCATCCGGATTGGCCTTGTGCGGACTCCCGCTAGTCCGGATCGGCAATCGTGATTTTTTTTTAGTGGCACAGTACAGTAGAAATCCGATTATCCAAGCTAAACGGGACCGAGACTACCTGGGATAGTAAAAAACTCGGATAACAATGCGGTAAAAATTATTACCGGTGGAATTGCATTTGCCTGGCTATCAATACTGTGGACCTGGAACAAAATTGAAAATACGGCTATATACAGTACTGTATTTGCTCGACTCTCGATTGTCCGGATTTATCATAACCCGGACCGGACGTCCGCAGGAAATGTTTCAGTCTCGGTAATATCATGATCATCATTCACGATCTCGGCAACTCGGCGATATCGTGGTTGTCACTCACGTTAGCGGCCACTCCTGTAAGTTAGTGTTGCAATCTCGGTAATAATGTGATCGTCATTCGCGATCCCGGCAACACTCGCAAACATATTTTGTGGTCTCGGCAATACCATGTTAGTTAGTCAAAAGGTTAAATAGTAACAAAATATCAGAAAGAAATATAAAAATTTTATCAATGAGCTCTGAAGCCGAGGTCGGAATATGAGCGAGGGTTGAAAGGACACTTTTTGCTCGTGTGATGAACTATATTTTTCATCATATTGCACCATGATGCAACATAGAACAAACATAGAACATAGAACAAACTATGTTACAAAACTGAAATAGTTTTCATTTAAATATAACCTCTCAAAACAATTTGGTTGTTCAAAACAATTTAATTAATTAGTTTTCAATTTAATTTGCTAATTAAAACAAGCAGCTGTTTAGTAAGTGATTCAATCATCTTGTCTATTACAATTGTGTTGGTGTACATTATACTATCGATATGTTGAACTATTTACAAAAACACAACAATTAACTACAATCGATTAAACAATCGATACATACTTTCGATACATGCAATTGTCAACTGGCTGCCATGTCTAGATAAAGGTTTATGTTGCAGAACATGTGGTCTATGGAAGGATGGTTGGGTGGAAGCCAGTGATGAGGAGGAGAATCAGGTTAACCTATCCCGTCAACTGGCTGCCATGTCTAGATATTATAGGTTTATGTTGCAGGACATGTGGTCTATGGAAGGATGGTTGGGTGGAAGCCAGTGATGAGGAGGAGAATCAGGTTAACCTATCCCGTCAACTGGCTGCCATGTCTAGATATTATAGGTTTATGTTGCAGGACATGTGGTCTATGGAAGGATGGTTGGGTGGAAGCCAGTGATGAGGAAGAGAATCAGGTTAACCTATCCCGTCAACTGGCTGCCATGTCTAGATATTATAGGTTTATGTTGCAGGACATGTGGTCTATGGAAGGATGGTTGGGTGGAAGCCAGTGATGAGGAGGAGAATCAGGTTAACCTATCCCGTCAACTGGCTGCCATGTCTAGATATTATAGGTTTATGTTGCAGGACATGTGGTCTATGGAAGGATGGTTGGGTGGAAGCCAGTGATGAGGAAGAGAATCAGGTTAACCTATCCCGTCAACTGGCTGCCATGTCTAGATATTATAGGTTTATGTTGCAGGACATGTGGTCTATGGAAGGATGGTTGGGTGGAAGCCAGTGATGAGGAGGAGAATCAGGTTAACCTATCCCGTCAACTGGCTGCCATGTCTAGATATTATAGGTTTATGTTGCAGGACATGTGGTCTATGGAAGGATGGTTGGGTGGAAGCCAGTGATGAGGAGGAGAATCAGGTTAACCTATCCCGTCAACTGGCTGCCATGTCTAGATATTATAGGTTTATGTTGCAGGACATGTGGTCTATGGAAGGATGGTTGGGTGGAAGCCAGTGATGAGGAAGAGAATCAGGTTAACCTATCCCGTCAACTGGCTGCCATGTCTAGATATTATAGGTTTATGTTGCAGGACATGTGGTCTATGGAAGGATGGTTGGGTGGAAGCCAGTGATGAGGAAGAGAATCAGGTTAACCTATCCCGTCAACTGGCTGCCATGTCTAGATATTATAGGTTTATGTTGCAGGACATGTGGTCTATGGAAGGATGGTTGGGTGGAAGCCAGTGATGAGGAAGAGAATCAGGTTAACCTATCCCGTCAACTGGCTGCCATGTCTAGATATTATAGGTTTATGTTGCAGGACATGTGGTCTATGGAAGGATGGTTGGGTGGAAGCCAGTGATGAGGAGGAGAATCAGGTTAACCTATCCCGTCAACTGGCTGCCATGTCTAGATATTATAGGTTTATGTTGCAGGACATGTGGTCTATGGAAGGATGGTTGGGTGGAAGCCAGTGATGAGGAGGAGAATCAGGTTAACCTATCCCGTCAACTGGCTGCCATGTCTCTCTCTTACGGCAGCACTGAGAGCAGCTTCTCACAGATACTAAAGGTGGGTATATAGGCACTCTTCACTCTCAAAATTACACCTTAAACTGGCCGTCACTTTTCCCTGCAACCCTTAAGTGGGCTTTTATCATCCTTGCCTCTTGTTAATCTTTTTCTGTAATTTTGTGTAACTATCTTCCACATAATTAAATAGTTAATAGTTATGACTGTGAAAGATTTTTTAAGTTGCCGATCGAATTAAGATACTGTTCAGTTACGTTTTAGTTCTAACAGCATTTATAATTTAGTTTTATTATATATTCTTGTGACGCTACTATACAGTTTTTTTCTGTGCAAAAATAAAGATGATTTGATTTAATCTTTTTATCAGGTTTGCTAGTAACCAGTTTTTACTCATTATCTTCACAATACTCAACAAACTGTAGGTTACATGAAACTATCACACCGTACAGGTAGTCCAGTCAAGGAATGAGGTGTAGAGTGCGTGAGCAGGTAACTAAGCGATTCCTTCAGAAACTTGTTCAGGGGGCTTAGGGTGTTAACATACCAAAAGTCCTGACTCCTAGGTGGTGAGCCAGGGGGTGGAGAGGGGAAAAAGGGGGGGGAGAAAGGTACGCATTTTGGGTTTTTTTATTATATCTCGAAAACTATCAACTTTTTGTATACTATAGTAAATTATAAAATTGAAGAAGATTAAATTTTCTACAAGAAAAGTATATAATGTGTTTATTTTGGTTCAACAGATTACGAGTTATAACTTATTTAATTGATATCTTATTAAAATCTTCTTCCATAAGAAATACATGTAAATTAGTATGCGAAATGGGGCGAATCCTATCCGCCCAAAGGAAATATAAATGATATTCTGGAAATCTTGACAAAATTTCCAGTAATTTGACACTTTAATCATTAAAATTGATCCAAAATTAAGGCGAGGGCGAGGTAATAAAATTTCGAGTTTTGGTGTTTTTTTTATTGGAAATATAAAAAAAACCTTAAATCATCCAATTTTTAAACGCTCACCCTCGCTTTAATTTTTGTCAAAATTTCATGATTAAAGTGTCAAATTACTGGAAATTTTGTCAATATTTCCAGAATATCAGTTATATTTCCTTTGGGCGGATAGGATTCGCCCCATTTCGCATACTAATTTACATGTATTTCTTATGGAAGGAGTATTTTAATAAGATATCAATTAAATAAGTTATAACTCGTAATCTGTTGAACCAAAATAAACACATTATATACTTTTCTTGTAGAAAATGTAATCTTCTTCAATTTTATAATTTACTATAGTATACAAAAAGTTGATAGTTTTCGAGATATAATCAAAAAACCCAAAATGCGTACCTTTTCCCCCCCTTTTTCCCCCCTCCACCCCCTGGCTCACCACCTAGGAGTCAGGACTTTTGGTATGTTAACACCCTAAGCCCCCTGAACAAGTTTCTGAAGGAATCGCTTAGTTACCTGCTCACGCACTCTACACCTACTTTTGGATCATTCATTGACTGGACTAAGGGGAGATCTGCTCTGTAAATTACAAAATTAATTCATAGTTTAACAAATATTTTTACTCAATAACCTGTATAATATTTACTGTCTGTTTTTGATTAAATTCAGGATGACTTACCAGCTTCAATACCAGATGGACCTCGGCAATTATACATAATGAGGCATGGAGAACGGGTGGATTTTGCTTTTGGAAAATGGATCCCATATTGTTTTACTGAAGAAGGTAAGAATATTTAGTCAATATTACTTATGTTTCAACAAGTAGTCTTCCAAGGATTTAAATAGTTAAAACCATAATTAATTATGTATGTTGGGTTGTGATTTGTTCTGGGATATGGTTGGTTTCATTTGTTTAACAGATTTGTTCAAGCAGTGTGATTGTTTAGCCGAGAAATTTAGCAAAACAACCGGGATTTTATTCTAACGTTTGAGATTAAATAATCAAATTTTCTTGATTTTTTTAACAAGAGTTTTTACGATTTTATTGTTATTGTAGGAGACTAAGATGTATCAGACTTAAGAACTAGATTCTGCCGAAATTGTAGGCATTCATTCTGTGTATCATAGACATTCATTATTTCACCACAACAATAGGAGAAGTTCTTGATTCCTCATGTTTGCGGGAGATGATTCACAATATTTTTTTAACTGATTGTAGTATAACAGTAAAAAAGTGTTTAACTTACCTTTTTAATGCAACCCAATTTCGGAAAGGGCCAACATTTTTTTTTGTCACCATTTTAGCAAATTTCCCTATAGGGAAGTAGCTATTACCGTAGGTCTAATAGTAAGACCTAAGCCCGGGACCGATTTACTTTTTCATTTTGATGTCCCCAGAGGCCAAAAACACCATTCGTTCAAATTTGTATATATGTGTCCATCCACACGATAACTTGAGTAATTTTTGTCTGATTTTGATAAAATTTGGTTTAAAGGTGTAAGGCGCGATAAACTTGAATGAGTTCGCGAAACAGCATGATCGGACAATGGGAACGGGGGTTTATGGGGGGTTTTATGGGGTAAAAATAGGTTTTTCCCATTTTTGACCCTAAAAACACAAAATTTCACAATTTCTTTTTAAACCATTTTGTAGAGCTTAAAAAAACAAATAATTTAGTATATTGAAGCGTTATTATGCGCCTAATTGTTACGGAGAATATTCAAAAAAATTTAAATTTTAAAATTCCCATGTTATTCTTATGGAGAACAAGTAAACTGTTGTAGTTTGCTTGTTTATGAACATATTTTGATCGATTTTGGAAAATACTTTTATTTCTTACTAAACTATTATCATTTTATCCCCCCTGCGGTTTCGGGGTTAGAATAGAACCGCAGCCTTCCCGGGCTTGTCGTAAGAGGCGACTAAAAGGGTGACCGACGCTCTCACTGGGAGTCCTTGGGAGTGCCCCTGTTGTGTTTGCAGGGGTTGATGTGTGCTCTGCACTGCCGATGGGTATTCTCAGTGAGTCGTGAGAAACCAGCCACTTCGGTCCTTGGTCAGGGAGTGCGGCATGGATGTAGAGGTCGGGCTCTACATTGTGACGGGTGACCCCCGGCACGTCAGGTATCCGGTGCTGGGAAAACGGAGGTTGGGCCTCGGGGAACTGGGGTAGGGGCGCTGTCCCCGAGGGTATACCCGTTCCTGACTATTCCGGGCCGCCCCTTGCCGCACGATGCGCTGGTAAACACAAGATGGCTTTTATAACAAATACCCTGAACACATCTTTAATAAGTAGCTCGAATGAGCAAGAAAAGAAGTCGGAAGTAGAGCGAGACCCTTTTGGGCGAAGCTCCAAGGTCCAGAGATCGCCAACATTGAAAGGCGTGAAGACGTCCCCTCCACCTGCATCTTTCAGGTGTACAAAAGACTTGACTTTGGGATCTCCCTTGACAAGTGGAGAAGGAAACGGTGGACCACCCTCTAAGTCTGGTGAAGGGATGCCGGAGGAATCCCTAACAACAGCGTTAGATTTGGAAGTGTCGGGAATGGTACTTCTGCGTCAGCAATATCTCGACGCAGAAAATGACATTGAAAACCGGCTTCGAAACATGGAGCAGACCATAAAGGCAATGCTTGAAACCTTTAAGACGCAGAGAGGAGTTAACCAAGTGGTTAAAAATGGCATGGCTAAGCTCGAGGACGACCTTGGTTTTGTCTTCGCCTGCCGGCTGGTGAGCAAGGCGGCCATGGAAAGGATCGCCGAGAAGGTGGTGTCCCTACCTGACGACAATGCGCGACCTTCCAAGAAACGCAGGAGGCCTACATCAGAAAGCCCTCCAAAAAGAGAAGAGGTTGTTCAGACAGCAAAGCCTAAAGTTAAGGTCAAGGCGACCCAGACTTCTAGGTCCTTCTCTGACGTAGTTGCCGCTCCAGCGAAACCTCAACAGCCACAGCAACCTGCGACACCCATTGAGGGTAGCTCCCGAAAGGGGTCAGTCGTAGAAACACCATCTGGGACTGTGTGGGAAAAGCGCCTTACGAAAAAGGAGAAGAGGAAATTGAGGCACGCGGAAGTCGGCTCCAAGACATATGTGGCAGTGAGGGCGCAATCGACCGGCGTGGCCCAAGCTGTGCCTGGCTCGGCACTCGCTAAAAAGTCGCGGCCCAAAAAGCCCAGGACTGAGGCAATTTTGGTCAAGCCTTTGGAGGGAAGATCATTCGCCGAAGTCTTGGGTGTTATCAAGGCCAAGGCTAAGCCAGAGCAAACCGACACGGTTGTACGGTCGATTAGACAAACCCGGGACGGGGACGTCCTCCTCGAACTGGGTAAGTCTAAAGATAAAGCCGCCTTTGCTGCCGAACTAAAGGCAGCTGTGGAAGGTCAGGGCACCGTTCGTGCTCTCGAACCCAAGACGTCCGTCGAGGTTCGGGATATGGATTGTGTGTCAACGGAGGATGACGTCATTGATGCCCTAAAAAAAGCTGTCCCCGAGCTTGCCGGACAAACGGCTAGTCTGAGGGTGTGGCTCACGAAACCAAACCGGAGTCAACAGCGGATGGCGGTCGCCGAAATGGCAGACGCAAACGCCAGTAAGGTTTTGGCACTCCAGCATTTGAGGGTTGGATGGGTTAATTGCAGGTTGAGACGGAGGGTGGAAGTAACGAGGTGTTTTAAATGCCTTGATTTCGGCCATTCCTCCCGAAACTGCGAAGGGCCCGACCGAGGCAAGAACTGCCTTCGATGCGGGGAGGTGGGTCACACTCGTAGGGACTGTAAAGTTGAGACCTGTTTCCTCTGTAAGGAGAAAGGCCTCAATGATAAAAACGCTAAACATATAGCTGGGTCTGGGCAGTGCAGTGCATTTAAAGGCGCACTACAACAAGCGAAAGCCCAACCACGAAGATAAGGATCCTCCAGTGCAATGTAGATCGATCCAGGACGGCTGACGCGCTTCTCAGTCAGCTTGCCCTCGAACACGGTGTTGACGCGCTCTTGGTCAGCGAACAGTACCAGTACCGGGACAGGGACCCATCTCTTTGGTTTCCCGATACACTTGGTACTGCTGCGTTCTGGGTTCGTAATACAGCTAAAGTGCAGGTAAGGAGTCACGCGAAGGGCCGAGGATTCGTTTGGGTCCGGTGCGGGGATGTCACTTACTTTAGTGTATACCTCACCCCCAACGAGGCTATCCGTGACTTTCGTGGAAAGATAGACCGCCTGGAAGAGAGCGTGCGCGATACCGCCGGGCACGTTGTCGTGGCGGGGGATTTCAATGCTAGGGCTGTCGAGTGGGGAATGACTCTCACTAATTCCCGGGGGAAGTACATCCTGGACTTTGCTGCCAGGGCTGGACTTGTTGTCATAAACGAGGGCAACACGCCAACTTTCCAGCGTCCCGGAATGAGGGGAACGATCCCAGACATCACGCTTGCATCTGAGTCCCTCTTGCCGAGGATACGAGCCTGGAGAGTCCTAGAGGATTATACGGCCAGTGACCACCAGTACATCATTTTTGATGTCATGGATAGTCATCAGAGACAAGCTACCGTGTCTCGGCAGGTGCCCGTTCGGTGGAACACCAAAAAGCTGGACGTGGCCAAATTCACCGAAGTCATACTACGGGGAGAGCCAGTGGTACCTGCTGCATCCGGCGTGGCTCACGCAGAGACATCAGTTACATGATTGATGAGGCTGATAGTCTCGGCCTGCGAAGAGTCAATGCCTCGCAGGATATCCCGGTGCGATAAGCGACCTGTGTACTGGTGGACAACCGAGATCGCAGAACTACGACGGGCAGCATTGAGAGCCAGACGTCTTGCTACCAGGGCTAGAGAACCTGAAGATAGACGTCTTAAGTCTGACGCTTACAAGGTGGCAAGGAAGTCTCTTCGCCGGGCCATTAACCGGAGCAAACGCAGTTGCTGGGAGAAATTAAGGGACGATGTCGATTCCGATCCGTGGGGCCTTGGTTACAAGATAGTAACCAAGAAGCTTGGCACCCGCTCTCCACCTTCCGTTATGGACGGGGCCTCTATGGAGAGGATCGTAAAGTCCCTTTTCCCGACTCACACACTGCGTCCATTGCGGGAGTTCGGAAGGGTGGACGACGTACCGCTTTTCAGTCTCGAGGAGTTGGAGGCTGCCGTTCTGTCCCTGAAGAACAACAAGGCTCCTGGACCGGATGGGGTACCTGGTGAGGCCCTGAAGAAAGTCTTTTCAATAAACCCACAAATCCTTTTGAGCACGTACAATGCCTGTCTGGCCGAGGGGAAGTTTCCCTTCTGCTGGAAAACAGCTAGGCTTGTGCTCGTGGGGAAGGGAAAAGGAAACCCAGACCTACCCTCCTCTTACAGACCTCTCTGTATGTTGGACACTGCTGGGAAAGTCTTGGAAAAGTTGATCCGTTCCCGACTGAATTCAGCCGTGGTTGCTGCAGGGAATCTATCCCCTCGTCAGTACGGTTTCAGGAAGGGACGGTCAACGGTTGACGCTATTGAGGAGGTAAAGCGAGCCGTAATGAGAGCTGAGGAGTTTAACAACTATTCTCGTCGGGTTGTGCTGCTTGTAACACTTGATGTGCGAAACGCATTTAATTCCGCGAGGTGGTGCGATATGCTCGACGCACTGGAGAACACTTTCCACGTCCCGGCATACCTCATGCGCATGATAGAGGACTACCTCCGGTACCGCCTCATCATTTACGACACTACAGAAGGCTCCAGGACGATGGATGTAACTTCTGGTGCTGCTCAAGGATCCATACTGGGCCCGGACCTCTGGAACGTCGCCTACGACAGCCTCTTGAGATCCGAGATGCCTGAGGAAACCGTCCTAGTTGGGTATGCAGATGACGTTGCGGCTTTAATAGCTGCACGTAGCATTGAGCTTGCCCAGCTGAAACTAAATCGAGTCATGCGAACCATTAACGCATGGATGGCAGAACATGGTCTCTCGCTCGCTCTGAGCAAAACTGAGATTGTCATTCTGACTAAAAAGAGGATTGACACCATCGTGCCTTTGATGGTGGGGAACGTTGAAGTCCAAACCACTCGTGCCGCAAAGTACCTTGGGGTCATGGTGGACAGCAAGCTCAGCTGGCGAGACCAGATCACCCGTACGGCGGACAAGGCCGCTAAAATGGTTTCTTCCCTTAGTCGGTTAATGGCCAATGTCGGAGGTCCACGGTCCAGCCGCAGAAGGCTGTTGATGTCTGCGGTCCAGTCAGTGCTCCTGTACGGTGCGGAGGTCTGGGCAGACGCTCTCAATAAGGAGGTATATAGGATGCGGCTCGCCCGAGTGCAGCGTCAGGCAGCACTAAGGGTAGCATCTGCCTATCGAACAGTGTCCGAACCCGCCGTCCTGGTGGTTGCTGGAGTCATCCCCGTCAAACTTTTGGCGGCGGAGAGGAAGGCAATTTATCAGCGCCGTGGGGAGGACCAGGCAAGTATTGAGGAACGCACCCGGACCTTCCAGCTGTGGCAGGAGAGCTGGGAACAGGAGACAAGGGGGCTCTGGACCAGGCGACTGATACAACAGGTCCAACCTTGGGTTAATCGGCGGTGCGGAGAGGTGAACTTCTACCTCACCCAATTTCTGACGGGTCACGGCTTTTTCCGGTCGTACTTGTTCAGGATGGGCAAAGCCGTGTCACCCGATTGCATATACTGCCCAGGCATTCCCGATGACGTGGAACACACTTTCTTCCACTGCCAGCATTGGGAAAGGCCCCGCCTAGAGGCTCAACAGTTCGTAGGACTGCTGTCGGTGGACACGGTCATACCGATGATGATGGAGGGTGAGGACAATTGGACCTGTGTGTCACTTTACATCCAGGGTGTTCTCCGCGCCAAGAAGCTTGACCTCGACCGGGATGCGGTGTAGGTCAAAAAATAAATAATGCCAGAAACGGTGCGAGCCCTGTGGGCTTAGGTCACATGTTGGCCTGACTTGAAGTAATGTGACAAACAATTCCAGGTCTGTGTCCAACAGAGTAGAGGGGGTTTTTTAGTGAGTAGTCTGTGATAAACTCAGGAGTCTCACACTACAGGCTGGCTACCTGTGTGCGTAAAAGCATTTTCCCTCCTCACCCTAAAAAAAAAAAAAAAAAAAAAAAAATTATCATTTTATAAGAAAAATCTTTTTTACCCACCCTGTTGCAGCAAACCTAAGTACTTGTTAAACTAATTCTATTTATATAGAAAATAAATGTGCTATTTTTATGGAGGCATTTTAGTGTAAATCCAATCAGGTTAATGGAAATTCGCTTAGTCTGCAGGTTTGCTGCGGCGGGGGTATTTTACCTGACCTGAGCCGATCAGACCCAAAGTAAAAAAGTCTGCTATGCAGACCCCTTATGGAAAGTCAGTCATTCTATCATTCGTCATCATTCTAAAATTCAGTTTAGTGTCCAAGTTCAGAAAAGTTAGTATTTATCATTAAACTGTGTCAAACCTTTAAAGTTAGTATTTGAAACAGCAATATGTATTTTTGCAGGAGAGTATGTACAGAAGGATCTGAATATGCCTGTCAAGGTGCCACAGAGAGAAGGTGGTCCTGACAGCTTCACAGCTGACTGTCCACTCACCTGTGTGGGAGAGTTGCAGGCCAGACTCACTGGTGAGGGCATGCGTCTCTCTGGTGTCACCATCAACCATGTGTTTGTGTCACCATCTCTTCGCTGCATACAGACCTGTCACAACGTGCTCATAGGTAGGCTCAATACTGTTACAAGGCCTACTTACAGGAAAACTTGCAAGACCCCAAAATAACACAGTATCAATATAAACATTGCAGTTTCCATTCAAGCAATTAATTTGCTCTTCAATTTTATTAGGACATCAATTTTGCTACCGGAACCGGTTTGCAACTTATTTAGGAAAAGTATAATTTACGCCAGATATTCTTTGAAAGAAAACAATAATCTTTTAATTTAAATTTATATACCATATTTTAGATAATTAATTTAAATAAGCATTAGAAAATAAAATAGTTTCAACTGTTCATAATTTTTGCCTAATGTTGACCTTTTGCATTAGCCCAATGACATCAGGGTCCGAAATAGACCCCACTAGGGATCGAACTAGCAGCCCTAAGCTCTGAAGTCAAGTACTACATCTACTCGGCTACCCAGACAGTTTAATGGGAATAGTTTGTTTTCAATTCAATTGTTATATTTGATTAAACAACTTCAATTAATTAGTAATTAGTGGTATTCGGAATTCTTGTTTATTAGGAATGGGACTGGTGAAGAAGTTACAGATGTGTGTGGAACCAGGACTGTTTGAGTGGTTGATCTGGCACAAGAACCGGTTCCCAAAGTGGCTGTCAGCAGAGGAACTGGTTGCTGAGGGGTACAACATCAACCGCAGCTACCAGCCCATCATCCCTGCGGACAGACTCACCGACTGTTCAGAGACAATAGAGCAGTTCTATGAGCGCAGCGCACTGCTTACACAGACAGTGCTGAACAACACATTAGCTGCTGGTACTCACACTTATACTCAACAGTCGCTATTCAATGTGATAAATGTTTCATAAAATACTATTTCAAATTAAATTTTTTATTTCAGTTTAAGAATTGAAGAGGGATGGACTCGTGGTCCTTATTGTGCATTATTTTAGTTGCATTCGACAATGATGCTTGGCTTTGTTAGTTTATACTTCTGTTAACCCTTTGCGATCGGAAGGTCAGCAGGAGTGTCCTCAACGCATTTGGCAGCCAGTCGGAATTCTATCTGTACTAACTTGATCTGTACCTGTAACAACTAGGCCTAGGCAGAGATTTAATTGTATGTCCAGTATTAAAATTTTAAATTTTGTACTATCCTTCGCTGTTTATTGCACTGATCCACATTATTCTTTGTTTACTACTTTTTATTGTGTCTTTAGTAATTAGCTTATTGTACTAATCATCTAAGTTATACTATACTATAACTGGTTTCTTTTGAATGTCAATATACATTTGCACGTGTTAGGTATGTTTATTTACCCATATATCCACTAGTTTGGCAATTTTGGTTAATCCTGATACACTGCCAGATAAGCAATATTGCACTCTATTCAAATCATTTTTTATTTTTAATTTGCCCCATTAGTTTGTTTTGTGATTTTCGATTTTCTGACAGTAACATTTGTCTTGACTATAAGTCAGAAACCGGTTTAGCCCCATCCTATCCAAGATTCTAGCATACCCCTACCCAAAAAAATACCTAATTAAAATATGAGTAATTTTGTTTCGGAGTCAGGTTCTGTCATAAAGACTATCTATTCCATGTAACTTCACCCCAATAGGAAATACTGTACTGTCTAAACTAGAATATCTGTCTAGAAGCATGGAGTTTTCTAACGTATTTAGTTCATGGCACATACAAGTTGAACAATCAAATCTTTCTTTCACAGATGTACAGGTTTTCTTTGGTTAAGGTTCCAACAATTGTTTTATTTGTTTTAAATGCTAATGATACCAAACAGAGGTTTCAACATGATCTGTGTTGTAGGTGGTGGCAACATATTGCTGGTGGGACATGCTGCTACACTGGACGTGTGTTCACGTAAGCTGGTAGGCGCCCGGCCGCGGGACTACAAGGACATGAACAACCTCCTGCGCAAGATCCCGTACTGCAGCCTGACTGTGGCACAACAGCTGTCCAATGACCCTGACAGTGACTGGCAGCTAGTGGAAGCTGCCTTACCTCCCCTCACCCACTCCAACAACCCCCGTTTTGACTTCAGAGTTCTTCTGACATAGCTACACTAACAGTGATTGGCAGCTATTGGAGGCTGCCTTCCCTCCCCTCACCCACTCCAACAACCCCCACTTAGACTTCAGAGTCCTCTTGTGTTGTTATAACTGTTAATCATTATACAGGGTATTTTAAACAAATTAAAATATTTATTTTATTTTTTTAGTTTCTAGTATTTGTAAGTAACGAGATGTGTGATTAAGACTTTTGACTCTCGATAGAACTAGACATTATATTCCCGTGTTAAAGTTGTCGTCAGTATTAGAATCAAAATAGACATTGTTGATTTGAGCCACCTACAGATGTGCTGACGTTTCTTATTCTGCAGAATTACTGTTTTCTGTCGAATTTACCAACTTTTCAATCAAGTCAATCTGATATAACATGTTATTGTAAACTCTAGCATCTTATATGTCAGATTATTTCAGTTACATAAACTACTGGAGAAAATATTTTTTAGTCTGTTGCGCATTCTGTGAGGGGCTTATAAAACTTATGTTCTGTTTTGATTTAAAAGTAGGATCATAGATAAAACATACTCCTTAGTAGATTTCCCATCCTTATGGAACAGCTGAAGCCAATTTTATTGTTAGTTCTGTCTGGTGTACTGTAGATGTCGTCAGTGGCGGTTCTAGGACCTTGTCAAGGGGGGGGCTACCCCAGCACCCCTCAATAAAGCAGGGGGGTCCGGGAAAATTTGGAATTTTCAAAGCCGTTTGGTGACTTTCTAAAGCCATTTTTAACACCTAAAACCTTGCCTAATTGTCCATAAACTCGGCATTTTACCTGTTGTTTGCCATGAGCAAATAGACATTTTTTAAATTAAACCATTGCGATTGCATTCACGAATTTCAAAACACTGTAGACTACGGCCATATCCTCCTAAAAACGTTGGGTGACTTTCTACAGCCAGTTTTAACGTCTAGAACTGTGTGCAAAACCTCCCATTTCCCCATTTTTATTTGTCATGAATAAGTAGACATTTTTAAAACTAACTATGACGATTGCATTCATAAAATCTCAAAACATATTGTAGGCTACGGCAATATCGTCCTAAAAGCTGTTTACTGACTTTCTAAAGCCATTATTAATCCAACTATTAATCCAAATCCAAAATTATTTAATCCAATCAAAATTAAATTATTTTTCCAATTATTTAATCCAATTATTAAGCCATTATGTGTCCAACTGTCCAAAAACCTGCCAATTCACCTGTTATTTGTCTTTGTCATGAGCAAGTAAATAGACATTTTAAAAATCAAATTATGACGAACTTGCATTCATGAATTTCAAAACATAGGCCTACTGTAGACTACAAAGCCATATCTCCTAAAAATAAGCCGTTTGGTCACTTTTATAGGGCTATTTCTAACGGCTATAACTGTGCTCAATAATTATCCTAAAACCTTCCATTTCACCTATTATATGCTGTTTATATGTCATGCAAGCAAGTAGTTACGTTTTTTAAACTTATGTTTTTCTACAGTCCATTTCATAGATCTGTCACAATATGTACAGTATCGAATTCAGTACCGGTAATAGCATTGACTATACAAAACTTTAACATTAGTGTTTATATAGTAAAAGGTAAAAGGCTACTGGTGCTACCGCTGATTGCTGATTGATGCCTGTGGCCTGTGTAAAGTTAGTGGCTAGCAGACAATTTGACAACTATGGAACATCAGGAAATCAGCTGTTTCCCCGTCCTTGCTCGCACGCTCGGCGCTCGCCATCGCCATACTTATTGTTAGTTTACAGCTGACTGCTGTAAAAATTGGATGATGCATATAACTAACTTTCCATTGTGTAATATTGTTTTATTTGCTGTGCTATTGTCCACAAAGTTGATCTATGTGGAACTTAATACTACTCCTGCCATCGCTTATTCAGTTTAATAATATCTACATTGGTGTCTGTTTTATGACATTGCGTGTTTTAAGGACGAAATGTACGTCTAAATTTATTTTTCCAGGGTCCAAGGGGGGGGGGCTTTAGCCCCTGTAGCCCTCCCCTTGGAACCGCCACTGGATGTTGTGTTTTGTTTACAATTTGTTTCTAATATTTTAGGGTTAGTTTCTCATGATTTGCACCTCGCTGTTTGGTTATATAGCTAGTGGACAAGTCATTGTTTACGATTAGATAGTTTTATTTGGTTAAACGAGGTTTTAGATTACTGAAATAGCAAGAAACGAATTGTAAACAAAACACAACTCCACAGTACACCGGACAGAACTAACAGTAAAATTGGCTTCAGCTGTTCCATAAGGGAAATCTACTAAGGGAGTATGTTTTATCTATGGTAGGATATGCCTAGTCTATATAGTTGGTGTATATCTACTTCAATTTCCAAAAGTCAATGGTAAAACCTAGTGTGCTATATTATTAAAGTGATAGTCAAATTTGATTTGATTTGGCACATCAAAATAAAGCTTAGAATGTGTAGATTTGCCAAAAATTATTGCTATGAATGAACGAATTCCCTAAGTAAGAGCTTTGCCCCACGGGCAACCAAACAAGCAGATCTCCAAAGGGCTGCGCAGTTCAGTACATGCTTTCAAAGTTAACATTTTGTTTTTTAAAATGAAACATCTGGTTGATATTTACTAGAAAAGGCCTTAGATAGTGCTTTCTTTACATTGTCGGAATTTGTGTCTTAGTTAGTAGTTGTGTAATTAAGAAGGTTATGTTTATTTAAACATTTAAAGAAAGGTTTTGTAGAATTTTGGGTCTGACTTAGGGGAGCTCCGATTGAGGCATTAGTTCAAAATTCCTCCGTGAACAGCGCTGTAGTAGAGAGCATTTTGGCAATGAAGGTTTACTAATCGCAAAAATAGTTCTGTTGATAAAATAAAATTATAAATGCCTCAAATTCAATTTCATAATTTGTTTATTATAAAATTACTATCATAACCTAACCGAACTAACCAAACTTGCTGATAATGAAATAATATAAAAAAGTTTATTAATAAAAAAAATAATTCTGTTCATTAAATAAAACTAGAAATTGCTCAATTAAAATTTTATAATGACTTAATAATAAAATTAAACTGTCATAACCGAACCAAACCAACCAAACTTGCTGATGATAATGAAAAAATCTTTGTCAAAAAGTTAGTGCCACCAGCGGGATTCGAACCCGGGACTCTAAGCATATCAGCCCGGCACGCTAACCACTAGACCACCGAGGCTGATGGTTGAAAATCGTATTGTTACGGTAATGGTTTTCCCTCAGCTAATGAGAAGCCTACAGCTGTCATTGTAAGCTCATCTACACCTCCCCTGAGTAAATACCTAGAATTTTGCTCATAGTTTTCTTAGTAATTTACATAGTGAGCTACGGAATGGCTACGGGTAAATGGGCTTCACTAAAATTGAAGAATTAGGGTAAAACATTGTTTTTACAAAAAATCATTATCAAGTAGGAGTAATTGATTTTATTATTCACTAAGGTAGGCTATGTAGATAGTTTTTATATTTTCAAATTAAATCAATAGATTTGCCTTATTTTTAAATACACATCAGCACCACTTAAAAACTGTAAAGGTTGCCTAGGAAATTTAAAAACCTTATCTAAATTTAAAGAAAACATTTTACCACACTAAGTAGTAAATTAAGTTTTGTTTCCATAATGAATAATAGATGACTCTTGTATAAAATACAGCAGATCTAAAGAACACCATTATTCTCTTTCATGTCATCTTTCGGTTGCGAAGCACGGGTATAGCACCTCGTAAGTAATTTATCTAGCTACCTAACAACTAACTCCTTTGCAGGTAGGTTCTTTGCACCTGAAAATCCATGATTTTTCTACTTTACTTTTTACTTATCCTTACCTTACCATGGGTGAATCCACCAAAAACTTATTCCTTTCTTTGTGATTGACAAAGTGGTCAGTGACCATGATATATTTCAATTTTGTGTGTTTAAGTTAAAAATGTTTCATACTGAGAAGACAACCCACTGTCAGCCTGCTCTTCCTATCAAAAACACAAAATCAAATCTATACTAAGTTTTCTATGACAGTATGAATCTGAAAGAAGCGGACTATTTCAAAAGCTACTGTATGTTTGTATTATATGTGATAGTTTCTTCATTAGCGTTTAATCAAGTAAATGTTTTTAATTAATTAACTGAAAACAAAGCTAAACAATTCAGTATAATAGAGACTGCGTTTCTAGAAGGAACATTGCAAATAAACACTTTGGGTAGAATGTTTACAAAATTAAAAGTTAAGGTGTGTAATGATAGTTTACGTCAAGCAAAGCTTGGCTGGTACCGTATCATGTCATGTTACTACATGTAAAACAGATTGTCAATAAAAGTTATTTTTGTGATTTTATATTAGTAAATATGATTTATTTATTTGTTTATATCAAGTATACAGTGATCATTGCCTTAATCTTGGAATATTTTGATGCAAAAAATGTTTAGAATAACAATTTGAGAACTAAAGACGTTAAGGTCTTATTGTAGATTGTTGATCTCACTTATTTTGATAACAGTTTATAATGGTTAGTTATTTTTAAATGTTATGTTTGTAAATTTGTAAATTATAGCTTTATTATTATTTAGAAATAAATCTTTTTGTATTGTTTGAACTGTGAATAATCTCTCTTTCCTAATTCTGATATCCTATATTATGTTTTATTTTTTTTATTTTTAGCGAATTCCCCTATAGAAAAGTAGCTGTTACTGTAGGTGGCTAAGACCATTATACCTGGGGCCGATTTGCTTTTTCATTCTTATGTCCCTAGAGTCCAAAAACACAATTCTTTAAAATTTTTATATGAATGTAATAACTTAAGTAATTTTTGTCCAGTTCTATGAAATTTGGTTTGAAGATGTAAGGCGGGATACACTGGAATGTGTTCGCAAACCATCATAATCGGACCATTGGAATGGGGTTTAGTAGGGTAAAAATTAGGTTTTCTCACTTTTGAGCCTCAAAACATAAAATTTTCCAATTTAAATAAATTTGTCATTTGTTATAGATTAATATAAACTAGATAACCTGTTGCTCGAAATCGAGCAAAACTGCAACTTATAATAAATAAAAAAAAAAAACAACAAAAACATAAACAGCAAGACCTCAAAGAGTAATTCTAAAGTCTATGACTGATTATAGAAATACGAAAAATATTATGTTGTAACAAATTATAAAACTAACCTACAATATTTAAATAAATATAGATCCGCTCTCATACTGCTTTGGTCATCTCTTATGTATTGTAGGTGGGTCCCCACTATGAGAACGTAGATGTCAACCACACACTGTAAAGTGAGCTTTTCCGACCTAATGTTGCAAGCCAAATCCCTCTCTTGACGCAAACCAGTACGACACGTAATATAGCACTGTTAAATTATTTCTACGATAGGTTCTGTTTTAGGCGTGTTTAAATTAGGGGCCCCAACCAAAGTCTCCAGTTGGGAACATTAGAGGGCAAGCAAGTGGATCTAACGACAGATCTAGAACGGATTTGCGTTTAACATTATTAGTTTTTGAAAAAAAAATTAACTAAGATTTATTTGGTCTGGTGGTCCTCTGTTTTCAGCTTTAAAAATAGCGGCGACATTTATACAGGTCGCATCATTGTAGCGAGGAAAGCCAATTATTTTGTCTCTTATTATGTACATAAGAATCTCCCTTAACTCCTCGGAGCTCTCGTCCCTACACATTTCTGCCACAGTTTTAAAAGATTGGGAAAATGGGTTGGCAATGTGACTCTATTTCCCACATATTTTTTCATTGAATCTTTCCTTTCAAGTGTCATGGATCTTGAAATTGTAGATCTCCTATGATCCTCTCATCTAAATGAGCTTCAGAGCTGACCATGGCAAAGGCGGAAATGAATTGACAAATTTTACACTAATAATTTCTAGATCCAAGCCTCACAGCCCTGATTTCAGATTGGGAGTTTCCAATAAGTTCCTGAAAGTAGGTATGGTGAATTCCGCAGATGAGGTAAATGGTTCTCTCATTTATGGCAACAAAGAGTAACAATTGAACTGTATCGGCCAGACTCTTTTAGCGAATTTCCCATTTAGGGAATAAGCTATTACCGTAGGTCTCATGGTAAGACCTAGACCCGGGACCGATTTACTTTTTCGTTTTGAGGTCCCCAGAGGCCAAAAACACCATCCGTTCAAATTCATATATATATATATATATATTTATATATGTGTCCGTTAGCGCGATAACTCGAGCAAAAATGATCCGATTTTGATGAAATTTGGTACAAAAGTGTAAACCTACATTTATTCGAACGAGTTCGCCAACCAGCATAATCGGACCATGGGAACAGGGGTTTATGGGGGGTTTTATGGGGTAAAAATGGGGTTTTCCCATTTTTTAACCTTAAAACAAAAAATTTTGTATTTTCTTTCTCAACCATTTTGTAGAGCTTAAAAAAGAAATAATTTAGTATATTGAAGTGCTGTTGTATGCCTAACGGTCACGGAGAAAATAAAAAAAAGTGTAATTTAAAATTCCCATGTTATTCTTATGGAGAAAATGAAAACTGTTGTAATTTACTTGTTTATGGATATAATGTTGATAAAATTTGGCAAATTTATTTATTTCATCCTATACTATTGACATATTGTCAAAAAACACTTTTACCTTCCCCGTAGCAGCAAACCTAAGCACTCGTTAAATCTAATGTTATTTAAATTGGAAATATATAACTTACTAGCTGTAACCCGCGGGCTTTGCCCCGTTTAACTTCTTAATTTTCAAGATTATCTCGTTCGCATGGTTCATAATCACGTCCTGGTTGAAGTTTGTTCGCTACGCTCACTCACCTTTAGGTTAGAGCTCGTTCGCTGCGCTCACTTGCCTTTGCAGGTTTGCTGCGGCGGGGGTATTTTTTGCTTAAAATGTAAGCCACCACAATGTAAACATTTAAAGTTCATTTGTCCAAGGTTATATGTATCCCACATGATGGTTGCCACTCTGTAATCATCAAATGATACATTGGGAGATTCATGCAAGCGGCCACGTTCGCGTTTCCTCCAACCACTCACAGTCTTCGTCTTACTGGTGGCATATTATTTTAAATTTAGACACATTGCGAAAGTTAACAAAACAACAGAAAACACTACAAACGGAATTGTTATACACATTGTAAATTACATGATATGGTGATGTAACTGCACTGGAAATAATCACTTTCAAACATTCATTTCATCACACCAAACTGTAACCAAAACAACACGATAATTCAGTAAAATACGATGTAAGGTAAATACATTCAACTATTTACAAACAATTTGCTGTCAAGTCTTGCTAGGACTCAGACTCAGGACAGGACTCAGGACTCTCTTTATTTAGGAAACAGATTTAGTTAACAGATGTTTAGATAAAAATATAAAATTCCGGCTTTGCTCTGGAATAAATAAGTCCTGCAGTCTATGGTCAAACTTAAAAACTAAAAAGAATTAAATATTTTATTTCTTAAACACTTTTTTGTCTAGTATTGATAGGATGCTCTTCAATTATGAACCAGACTTAGTTAACAGATTGAAACAAAATATAAATTCCAGCTTTGCTCTGGAAGTTTTAGTCCTGCAGTCTGTGGTTAACCTTAAAAACTATTTCAAACTACGTCCATATGTTATTTGTAAACAAAGGGAAATGAGTTGGATCAAATGTCAACAGATGGTGCCGCCTTCCAAACTTTAGCCCTTAACTGTACTTAATTGGTGCCCTTTCCAAATATTCTGAGAAGTATTTGCATATCTACGTGAAAATACCTTTAATGTGACACCTCAAACTTTAAAATCCATCAAGCCGTTATTGAGTTATGACTGTGAAAAGAAAACTGCTTGCGTATTAATATATAGATGTGTTATTAAGTGAGGGGACATTAACATTGTCTAGCTGATAACCAATGCAAAGACACATACAAGGCCTACATAGATGGGAACTGAGAATGACATGTTTGAAAAACCCATTCTTGAGTTTTAGACCAACCAAACAAATAATTTAGTCTAGTACCTGGTAAATATTTATTAAAAACTGTATTTTACATCAATTTGTACAATAATTGTAATAAGTCTTTTGTCCAACACTCATGTAAAGTTTAATTTACTAAAGTAACTCATCTACAGACTTAAACTACGTGTGTAAGACATAAAACTATTAAAATTCATTGTCATCGTTCTGAGTTAATAATGCTACTTTCCTTATAAGAACAAAATTTGCAAGTAAGTAACTAATTTCCACACTTATATTTGGATAGGAAATTGGAATGCCTTCATGACAGTTACTAAATCAGGAATCCAAACATTTTAAGAGAGTTTAAAGACAAACTTTAAGTCATATTTGAAACATTTATTTAACATCTGCTGTGTACACCCCGTGTAAAAAAAAACACATTTTGCAAATTGAGGGGTTTTATATTCTGGGAAATGGTTACTAATAGTTAAACAAAAACCCTAGCTATGTATGTAAGAGGTGCCGTGAATACTTTTGTTACTTCAGGTACTCAACAGTTTCTAAAAGAATTGTTAACCCCTTTTATCTAGTGTTTGAATTTATAGTAGTAGTAGTGTGAATAGCTTATTGAAACAAAAAGAAGACTTGATTGGCTTTGTTGAAATGTCTACAATCACAACAACTTGGCCTCCCTTAGTCTGGCTATCAATGTGTCGACATCAGGCAGTATTGGACCACACTGGCGCACCGGAGGCTCATCCACTCTGAGAACCTCCATCCGAGGAGTCAAGTCCACATCCAGCTCTGCTATCGGCACTTTCTTGACCAACTTCTTTTTAGCTTTCTGCAATATTTTGATAAAAATACAAATGTACCGGTATGCACAAAAATCTGTTATATCATTAATACTCGTAATATAACAAAAAAGATAGGTGAGGGTTGTCGAAAACGGTTTATTGTAAGAAATTGTGACAGACATTATTAAGAAACCCAACCTGGATTTCAACATTATGTCAACTCTTCCTCTGAAATGTAATACGTATGCAAAATATATAAAGCCACAAACAGGATAGTTTCTATTTATAATATAATACAGTTGGAACCTCAATTATTACAAGAGCCATATTACAAGAACCTTGAGAAAATGAATCTTGATAACAAGTGTCATTTTCAAATACCCTTCATTTTATATTGCTCTTAATTACATGTTATTGCAAACCTTGAACAAAAGTAATATTTTATAATCCCCATGATAGGCTTGTTATTGAGGTTCTACTGTAATAATAATTTGACACACTTAAATTCTACTATAATTAATTTTGACCTCCTATTTTGTCAAGTATCAAAGGATAAGTTTTCTTATGACATTATGCCAGGACACACACTATTTACACTAGAACTACCGAAACTTAAACTCCTTTCACACTAAAAGGTTTTCCCGTCCACTTAAAACCGCACATTTTTATCGCGTGTCTATAATTCTTTATCATAACACGGATTCCAGCCATACGAGATGAATTTGTATACAATGTCACAATAAACATAAACAGTGTCCAATTGAAAAGCCAGATTCAATAAAAGAAACAGTGCAACAGCTGATCTATTTGCACTTACTAGTGGGGTCCTGTTCGACAAAAAAACAGTGCAGTGTGAAAGCTTGCATTTAACTACATGCACCACTGACGCAGACACACCGTACCTACGTTTCAGTGGCAGTGGACGGCTGCAAGATGGCACAGTTTTCTGCCGTAACTGTGTAGTGTGAAAGCTTGCATTTAACTACATGCACCACTGACGCAGACACACCGTACCTACGTTTCAGTGGCAGTGGACGGCTGCAAGATGGCACAGTTTTCTGCCGTAACTGTGTAGTGTGAAAGCTTACATTTAACTACATGCACCACTGACGCAGACACACCGTACCTACGTTTCAGTGGCAGTGGACGGCTGCAAGATGGCACAGTTTTCTGCCGTAACTGTGTAGTGTGAAAGCTTGCATTTAACTACATGCACCACTGACGCAGACACACCGTACCTACGTTTCAGTGGCAGTGGACGGCTGCAAGATGGCACAGTTTTCTGCCGTAACTGTGTAGTGTGAAAGCTTGCATTTAACTACATGCACCACTGACGCAGACACACCGTACCTACGTTTCAGTGGCAGTGGACGGCTGCAAGATGGCACAGTTTTCTGCCGTAACTGTGTAGTGTGAAAGCTTGCATTTAACTACATGCACCACTGACGCAGACACACCGTACCTACGTTTCAGTGGCAGTGGACGGCTGCAAGATGGCACAGTTTTCTGCCGTAACTGTGTAGTGTGAAAGCTTGCATTTAACTACATGCACCACTGACGCAGACACACCGTACCTACGTTTCAGTGGCAGTGGACGGCTGCAAGATGGCACAGTTTTCTGCCGTAACTGTGTAGTGTGAAAGCTTGCATTTAACTACATGCACCACTGACGCAGACACACCGTACCTACGTTTCAGTGGCAGTGGACGGCTGCAAGATGGCACAGTTTTCTGCCGTAACTGTGTAGTGTGAAAGCTTACATTTAACTACATGCACCACTGACGCAGACACACCGTACCTACGTTTCAGTGGCAGTGGACGGCTGCAAGATGGCACAGTTTTCTGCCGTAACTGTGTAGTGTGAAAGCTTGCATTTAACTACATGCACCACTGACGCAGACACACCGTACCTACGTTTCAGTGGCAGTGGACGGCTGCAAGATGGCACAGTTTTCTGCCGTAACTGTGTAGTGTGAAAGCTTACATTTAACTACATGCACCACTGACGCAGACACACCGTACCTACGTTTCAGTGGCAGTGGACGGCTGCAAGATGGCACAGTTTTCTTCCGTAACTGTGTAGTGTGAAAGCTTACATTTAACTACATGCACCACTGACGCAGACACACCGTACCTACGTTTCAGTGGCAGTGGACGGCTGCAAGATGGCACAGTTTTCTGCCGTAACTGTGTAGTGTGAAAGCTTACATTTAACTACATGCACCACTGACGCAGACACACCGTACCTACGTTTCAGTGGCAGTGGACGGCTGCAAGATGGCACAGTTTTCTGCCGTAACTGTGTAGTGTGAAAGCTTGCATTTAACTACATGCACCACTGACGCAGAGACACCATCCGTTTCAGTGGCAGTGGACGGCTGCAGGGCGGCACGGGTTTCTACTGTGTAGTATGAAAGCTCTCATGCTCTTCTTAACACTACAAAAAATCACGCAAACGGTTAAAAGCCGTATAGTGTGAAAGGAGCGTCAGGCATTGAAGTTTGTTACAGTAGTCACTAAACCAATTCGTAATTCACCTATTTAGCAGTATTTTGATTTGACAGTATATGACTATAAAGTTATGACTTCAAACAGTTCAAACTTACCATTATTTTTGGCAAAGTACAATAACGAGGCTCGTTAAGTCGTAAATCTGCACTTATAACTGCAGGAATTTTTAGTTTAATGTTTTCCAAGCCTCCGTCTATCTCTCGTAAGACCGTCACCTCTCCATCAGTCTTTTCAACCTGTAAAATAACAATTTGGGATGTGTTGTAGTGTAAAATACTTTAAATTACATCTTATGCAATAGATATACCCACACCTCAATTGAATAATGGGTTGGCTGTTAATAATACATATAAGAGTCTAGGGCCAAAAATTGTAAGTTTAGTAGGCTTGAGATTGTGTTTTAATGTTTACTTGAAGGTCAATGTGCAATAGTATATTTCATTACTAGGACCGAAAGTGGCATTTTCCGTCGCGCGCTCAAGTTTTTGTGTTTGGCTTCGCCTCACACAGGGAACCCCAATTTCACGTGTGAGGCGAAGCCGAGTATGTGAGAGCTATTTTTATGTACGAGGCGAAGCCGAGGACGGGAATAATGGAGCAAGTGCCGGATGATAACTTTCGGTACGAGTTATGAACGATACTTTTCATCACGACGCAAAAATACACAAACACAGATTAGCAGACCTCAGTGATATTACAACTAGGTATATATACAACTATTTTATATTTCTCAATTAATTTGATTGAACATCAAAATAAAATAAAATCTTCTAAAAGGAAACCTACGTATATTTCTCAATAAATTTTGTTTAAAAATGAAAATAAAATAATAAAACAACTTTTAACAATACATACAGCTGATTCAAATCATTAAATTAAACCGTAACAAAACACTAGCGTGCATAGAGAATAAATGGAGAACTAATCGAGAGCGAGGGAAAGTAAATTTAGAGCGAGGGAAAATCAGCTGATCGATTTTCCCTCGCCCTAAATTAGAGACTTGGGAAACGACTACTTTCATTGATGTCAGCTGTTATCAAAAATAGTTACTTTGGTTACGGAGTGATAAAAAAATTTTTTCATCACTCCGTAACGAAAGTAACTATTTTCGATAACAGCTGACATCAATGAAAGTAGCCGTTTCCCAAGCTCTAATTTAGGGCGAGGAAAAATCGATCAGCTGATTTTCCCTCGCTCTAAATTTACTTTCGTCGCTCTCAATTAGTTCTCCATTTATTCACTACGCGCGCTAGTGTTTTGTTACAGTTTAATTTAATGATTTGAATCAGCTGTGTTTATTGTTTGACAATCTAAATGTAAACATAAACACGCATAAGCTTGTTTTGCTGTGTTTTTAGCTTAGTGCGTATTTAAAAGCGGCCAAAATATGTCTATTATTTCGGACGATTTATCGAAGAAAGCTTTAGAGATAACCAAAAACCTCCTTCCAGAGAAATCGAGAGAGAGGTATAATGAGGAGTTCAGGAAGTTTATGGACTGGTGCCAAGGACACAATGTTTTACCAAAGAATGTAAGTGACGAAGTTTTATTAGTATATTTATCTGAGAAATCTAAAAGCATGAAACCAACAACGTTGTGGAGTAAATTTTCTATGATAAAGAGTGGTTTGAAATTAAAAGAAAATGTGGATGTATCAAAATTTAACAAATCTCTAGCATTTCTTAAACGTCAATCAGTGGGTTATCAACCTACAAAAGCTAAGGTTTTTACTGAAGACGAAATTCAAAGATTCATGGTTAACGCTCCTGACAATGAATGGTTATTGAGCAAGGTCATCCTAACTCTGGGTATTTATGGAGCTTGTCGAAACCACGATCTTATAAATTTAAAAGTAGAAGATATTACAGACAATGGCAGTTTTTTTGTCGTGTTTCTCAACGATGGCAAAACACACATTAAACGCAGTTTTACCATAACCAATGACAACTGTCCATATAGACCATGTGATTTGATTCGCAAATATTTGTTATTGCGCCCCAGACAAATGAAAAGTAACCGATTTTTAATTGGTTACAGGAAGGGTAAATGCGTGGGACAAAATGTAGGGGGTCACACAATCAGTTCAATCCCAAAAAAGGTAGCAGAATACCTTAAATTAGACGAACCGGAGCGCTATACTGGACACGCCCTCAGGCGTACCTCAGCCACCATGCTAGTTGAGGGAGGAGGGGATTTACTTGCCCTTAAATCACACGGAGGTTGGAAATCCTCTAATGTCGCAGAGAGTTACATAGAAAATTCCATTGGAAGAAAATTACAACTGTCAAGAAAACTGTTTAAAAATCCGCATGCAATGAGTTCAACAGCTGCTGAGAATACAAACAGAAATGTTGTAGAAAAAACACATTCAGGAAGCCAAATAGATTTTTTTGACATTGATCATGTGTTTAACAACTCAGAAGATGAAGAATGCCCTCAGAGAAAAGTAAGAAAAGTTGATGAAACAAACACGACCACTACAAACGTTTCAACGATTCAAGAACTTCAGAAAAAACTTTTAAACGAAGGAGTGAATGTCTCCAACAATGAAAACTGTACAATAAACATAACCATAAACTTCTAATTTTTTGATTGTTAAGTAGGTTCCCTTTAGATTTTTTTTTATGTTTAAAAAAAGATTAATCGAGAAATATACAAAGGTTTCCTTTTAGAAGATTTTATTTTGATGTTTAAAATAAATAATTTAGAAATAAACTAGTTGTAATATTACTGAGGTCTGTTATTCTGTGTTTGTGTATTTTTGCGTCGTGATGAAAAGTATCGTTCATAACTCGTACCGAAAGTTATTTTCCGGCTCTTGCTCCATTATTCCCGTCCTCGGCTTCGCCTCGTACGTGAAAATAGCTCTCACATACTCGGCTTCGCCTCGCATGTGAAATTGGATTTTCCTGTGTGAGGCTTCGCCTCACACAAAAACTTGAGCGCGCTCCGGAAAATGCCACTTTCGGTCCTAGTAATGAAATATACTATTTTACCACACTAAAAGAAACCGTAAGTACTCTATCATAAAATAGCATGTGAATTTACAATTTTTGAGAATAACAAAAAAATTGGCCCATTCAACAGTGAAGACTGAAGTGTTGCTAGTTTATTATTCTTTTTCATACATCTAAAAATATCCAAAATTTATAAAATTAACAAATGTACCTAGGGTATTCATATTTAACTGATGATTAAGTTTCAGTGTATCACTTTTAAGACCTATTTCTAATCAGTCACCTTGGAAGCAAATGTTCCCTGTGGCCAGTCCAAGTAGCCTGCCGTCATCTGTGCTGTCTGGTTACAGTCATCATCAATGGCCTGGGTAAGAAACAAGTGTTAGTAAAAAAAATACCCACAATGAAGCAAACCTGCAGACTAAACAAATTGCCATACCTATGCCTGATTGGATGTTCGCTATAATATGGCCTTAAAAATGTCATGTTTTTCCTTATTAAAATAACAATAATTAATTTAATGAATACTTAGATTTAATGCTACAGGATAGGGGATGAAGGGTATTATTTAGTGAAATGTTTAGCTTAGTATCTATTATATTATTAAAGTGATACAATAAATATTAAATATAAATAATAAATGTTAACATCAAAAGTAGGGGTTTGAAAGTAAGTAGGTTTACACTTTTGAATCAGTTTATATTTTCAAACTAAATCATAGAGTTGCTGTATTTAAAAACACACATCAGCAACACTAGCTCTCAGGTCACATTTTCTTCCCGTTGCAAAGCACAGGTATAGCAGCTTGTAAAATAAATAAACCTGCCAAATTCGATCATAATACAGGGTGTTTTTTTTAAACTTGCATCTTTATTTATGTAAAAACCACAATAGATAGAAATATTCAGTTTGCGGGAATCATCTATTGACGTAGGGGGCACAATTTTTTTGAATTCAATGTTACATTCACATTCCCCCCCCTTTCCCCCCTGCCCCAACTTATTTTTTTTTTAATAGCAAGGTACCCCTTGTGACATATCAAATAAAAGACAATGAAAAAAGAAAATGTTTGATGAAAAAAAATTGAAAATCGGTTCATAAACTTGTTAGATATTCCCCCCCTCCCCACCCGGAACTTAATTTTTTTTTAATAGCAAGGTACCCCTTGTGACATATCAAATGAAAGAGCATGAAAAAAGAAAATGTTTAATGAAAAAAAATTTTAAATCGGCTCATGAATTTGTGAGATAATCCCCCCCCCCTTTTCCCCTACCCATAACTTTTTTTTTAATAGCAAGGTACCCCCCCCCCTTGTGACGCATCAAATGAAAAATAAATTTCACTAAAAGTTTTCTTTTTTCATGCTCTTTCATTTGATATGTCACAAGGGGTACCTTGCTATTTAAAAAAAATAAGTTGAAGGATGGGGGGTAAGGGGGGGAATGTAAATGTAACGTTGAATTAAAAAAAAATTGGGCCCCCTACGTCAATAGATGATTCCCGCAAACTGCATATTTCTATCTATTGCGGTTTTTACATAAATAAAGATGCAAGTTTTTAAAAAAACACCCTGTATATAAACAACAACAACTAAAATATAGTAATTCTCCACAAGAAATCATAGACATTTTGATGTTCAGTTTTTTTAAATTTTGTCCATAACTATAAGGTGTACAACAACTCTTCAATATGTTAAATTATCTGTTTACTAAGCTCTATCAAATAGTTGGGATAAAATTGCTAATTTCTATGTTTGGAATAAAATAACACACCGCAGCAGCAAACCCGCGGACTAAGCGAATTTCTATCTGCCTGATTTGATTTTCAATTAAATTTATTTCAATAAAATAATTGTAATGCCAAAACGGCCGTAACCCAAGTTACAACGGGTTGAGCTGTAGGAAAAGGTAAAACCTATTTTTAGTTACGGTATATCACAGCTCAGGGGATAAAACATAAATTTTAATTTAATATTGCAACAACTGGCAGCAGAATGACACTTCTAGTGTGATGGCTGGACAGTCATTGAGTAGGCGTACAAATATGTACTTAATGACCACTGTGCGCCAGAAGGAGAGACTTTTGTACATTCTGAACAACCCACGTATATATAAATGAATTTTAATCGATAGTGTTTCTGGACCGTGGGTCATAAAACAGCAAAATTGATCCTGGGTCTAGGTCTAGGTTTTACCATGAGACCTACAGTAGCTAAGTCCCTATAGTGGGAAACTGGTTAAAATGGATTAAAATTAAATAATTATTGAAGTCATACATACAAGGGTTATTTTTTAAGGACGGGTTGTTTATAATGCATATAGGTAGTTTTTAACGTGTACGTCGCAACGAGGTTCCTTGCTGTTTACCGACAGAATGGTGCCATTTGCAGCTCTGGACCATACATTTACGTAGCTGTGTTAGTAAACATTTAAAAATAATTGAATTTCCCACGTCATTTGAGATAAATTTAATGATACATTTTTTACCAAAAGAAACATCCGATGTGCCAACATTAATCACAGATTACATTGTATCTGGGTTCTGTATCTGTATGTATAGGGTTATGGCAATAATGCTATGAGTGAGAGTAAAGATGTAGTAACACTTCGGCCCAGTAACATTTCGGCCAAACTCAAATTTCTTAGAAAAACAGTATCACTTCGTCCCACTCGCTTTTACAGATGATTAAATAAGCTAATGGAGTAATATTTCGGCCCGACGAAAAATTGACAAGGGTTGAGGAACGCAGTTCAGGTAGTAAGAGGTTCATGACCTGTATACTTTGCAACCACCCTCTGGTGGAATGTCGCCCAACCGTCACCCCTTGCATCCTCTGACCTCACATGACGGAGAATCGGTGGAATCTTACCTAACCTAACCTAACCTAACCTAACCTGTCAAATATTTTGTTGGGACGAAGTGTTACTAGTGGGCAGGTAGAGAGTTGGACCGTAGGCCACATCTGAGGGTTTCGGGCCGAAATGTTACTGGGCCGAAGTGTTACTTGGGCCGAAGTGTTACGACATGAGAGTAAAGTGCATAAATGGGTTAGGAAGTTTAAAAAGGGTTGTGATAATGTCTGTTTAGGAAGCTGTAGTGTTTTTGGTGGATACCCAGACTTCCAAAGAAGACCACAAAGGAACAAGGGTTTTCACGGCCACATTTCACTCCCTAACCCATTTTTGCACTCATTGCATTAGGGCCATAGCCTTAAGTCAACTGGAGATGAACTCCGGCATTGGATATGTTTCTTGTGGTAAAAAAAAAACGTACCACTGACTTTATCTCGCATGCGGCAGGAGATTTTAATAATAAGAAAAAAATTCTAAATACATAGCAAAATCTGTAGTACACGTCAGCTACAGAGCTGCAAATGGCACCGTTCTGTTCAACCAGTAAGCGGCGAAGAGCTTCATTGCAGCATGCATGCATACGAATTAAGAAGCTATACGCAAAAAATGACCTAACATAAAACATCTTTGTACTTAAAGAAAGAGTTTAAAATAATTTACCATCTTTCATGAATATGAAATTATAGATAAAAAGCTTATATAGCTTATAGATAGAAAGCGTAAAGCTTTCAGACCGGCACTAAAAATCGTACTGTAATCACGATTTAAGACAAGCTGTGTTCAACCCAAAGAATTATTTGTGTCTGAGAGCAGTTGTCAAATTGAGAAGTTACAAAGTGTACTTTGAAGTCTATGAAAAAAAAATTGCATTTTAAGTTATTTAATTGGTCTTAAACTAATATCACAGAGTTTATCACTATCGAGAAGTAAAAACAACCATTTAAAAGTTAGCAAAACATTACAAAATTAGACAGGTTGTACTACAAGGCATTAGGTGAAGGCATAATAGTTAGACAATGACAACTAAAAACATAACTTATAGTTAAGTACAACCTACCATACTTAAGTAATTAAGTTCACATATATTGTTGATTGAAAAATACAGTTATGTTAGCATTCTTAAGTGAACTGTAGATGAAACACCTACTGCTTTGTATGTTATCTCCATGATTGGACTTGTGGCTAGCAGAAGCAACTCGAGCCATAAAAGCTAGCATGACTGACAAAAATCTTCTTTTTTTTATCTGTCTCGGGTCAAGTGTTACCATGAGACAGATGGTAATGCTTATTCCCTCCATAGGAAATTGGCTAATATTCCTTGTTGGTAAATTACCTCCTGTACCTAATAGTCCCTATATGGAAAATTTGTTAACAATGGAGCATAAAACTCAAGTGCGGGTACAACCCTCTCATAGTAAAGCCACGTCAGACACTACTTATCATATTCATCTTGACATTTACACACATTTGTTTAGAAAATTAATGAATAAACAGACCTGCTTTCCTAGAATTATCATGTCAACATTGTTTTCTTTCGCTAGCTTGGCAAGTATCTTAGAGACATGGATTGGTTGTAGACTTTCATAATCTTTCTCTGGAACTTGAACGTGAATTCCCCAGTCTGCTCCCATGGCCAAAGCAGTTCTTATTTCTTCCTAAAATCGTCATAAAAAGAATAATGTGTACGCTTTTAATTTAGAGCAAGAACAATGTGAAAATCTTGCATTCTGGGTGGGCAAATATTAGCACTATTTCATCCACAATATACTTGGCCAAAGTGTAATTTTTATAAAGATTATCCAAATTCCAGCAAGATATTGGATTTTTACATTGTAAATTAATGGGAAGATAAATTGTTTTTCAAAAGCTGTTCAAAACTTGTTGATCTTCGTAATAGATTTATTCATGATTTTATTATTATTTATTATACTATTTTTTCAGCAAAGTATTCATTTTTACTGTATAAAATGTTTTAAATTGTATAGTTTTAAAAATGTCTATGAAATTTTATACAAAAAAGGATCTCCCAGTATCATGTCCACAAACCAGTTTTCTTAGTTTTGGGCTGTGTCTTTAAATTGTAACCTATGTTTTAGAGTATTTTTTTAGTAGGTAGGCCCATATATACATAAGATATTTATTTTGCCATATTTTGAGTATTTCAACACACAGTTTAACATAAAGTAGGTTTCTGCTAAATGTTAAATTATTGTTTGAGTTACCTCAGCTCTTGGAGGTCCACACGAAACCACAAGAATTTCTGAAATCACTTTCTTTTCTTTCATACGAACTGCTTCTTCAACAGCTATCTCATCGAACGGGTTCATGGAGTGAGCTACACCATCTGTCATGACTCCTGTTTTGTCAGATTTCACCATTATCTGCAATTATTAATTAAAGGTCCTAAAAGCACTGACATTTGAAACTTTTTAGTCAGCTAATCTGTAGACTATGACAAAATTATATTTGAATTTTGATTAAATAATTAATTACTATTATATGCGCTCTGTACAAATAATCAAGCCTAATATTTCCTTGTGACAAGTTCATAAAAAAGCAAATTAATTCAACCAACCTTCTGGAGCAACTCATTAACCAGGGTTGATAAACTAGCTGCATAAATAAAGTAAACTGTATTTTGTTTAAACTTTTTTTGAGATTCAACAATAAATTGCTAAAGTTGCCTTTTTAGGGCACAACCCCCACTCAAAAACCTCTTTCTAACTAATAATACATTCAGTAAGTGCCTACAACTATCCTATACTCTAATACAAGCTATGTCTACCTGTAATATATATATCTCAAAATCCAGCAGAAGAATTTTCAATTAGGGACTTATAGCCCTAAAACCGTGATTGGCGACAGGCACTACCATAGGAAATTTACTTACCCGTTCATCCATATATTTTTATCAAACTTGGCAAATTTATTTTATACTAAGCTATTAATATTTTACTAAAAAAACACTTTGTTATCCTCCCTGTAGCAGCAATCCTAGGTACTTGTTAAACGTAAACTTTTTTTAAAGATTTAATTGAAAATCCAATCGGATAAACGGAAATTCGCTTAGTCTGCAGGTTTGCTGCAGTGGGGGTATTTTATAGTTTACATAATTTTGACAACTGTATTCAGTTTAATTAGCATTATGATTAAGGTTAATTGTATTACAATAATCTTATGGTAAACAATTAATATAGCCTAAGCTTGAATCGGACTTCTGTCCTCAGCTAATCCATCATAGGAAAGTATTTTAGAGAGTATGCTGATGTTCATGCTGAAGTTTTACTTTTACCAAAGATTACATATTTTGCGTAGCATATGTAATCTTTGCTTTTACTTAAAGAAAGATTTAGTTTAGTAGTACCAAGAAATAAATCACACCCCTTACATACACTGTATTAATGCTACTGTAGCTGAATGCTACTGTATTAACACATTCGATGCGGCGGGTCCACCGGTGGACCCCGCGCGTCTCAGCTGAGGAGCGGGGGGTCCACGGGTGGGGGAGCGCGCCATGTCATGTTTATTGTTTCAATGTGAGCTCAGCCATTGTCGGGGAACGTTGTAATCTTTACCAGCCTGTAGCTTATAATGCGAGCTTTATTCTGGGTGTAGGTTAGTACAAAAATTGCCCGTAAAATCCCGTCTGGCAATGCTTTTGTCCCGTTTTTGGGGATTTTCTCAGTTCGAGCCGTATTACAAAGACTCTGGTTATTGATCCAGGCAGTGCTGTTACCTTTGGGTGTTTCAGTGAACTACGTCCACTTTCGGAGTAACGCAGAACAATCACCACTGCTCTTTTGTGATTCGTCTTACTGAGATATTTCAATAGCGATCGCTGATTCAGTTAGCACGTCGGGGCTCCGCCCGGGCCTCGCCGCCATTGGCGAGCACCTGTTTAAAGGTTTTCAGCAGCGAATGTGTTAACCTGTGATTATATATTAAGTCCTAAAATAGGAACTAAAACCAAAAAAGACTTATTTGATTTATTTTATACATTTCTTTTATTTATTTACAGCATAAGAAATGTGTATGTTTAAAATAAATTAATATGTTAATGTATTGTATTGCCAGGTTAATATTTCCATCATACAAGGGTTGCTATTTAAGATTCTAATATTATTAGAATATTTAATATTATTTCTAATATTCTTTATTCTGGTCTTGGCAACACTGATTGTTGCTAGGCGCCAGCTGATACCTTGCATTGTTGAACATAACCTCAAACATGACTTACTGTCATCTGTCACTATTAGTGTTGTTAGTGAATATCTACACGGTGAAAAATGGAATCAACACGTGAACATTACTGTGCAATTATTTTTCACAACTTTCGTGGTGCTCAAGACAAGGGTGCGCCGATGAACTTAGTGCCTTATATGGCTTTGAAGCGCCTTCTTATCGAATTAAACAGCAATCCACTGTGTGGGTCTATCAAGATGAACCTAATCTCACCAAAGTGGTTCGTGAAAAGAGCATATAGAAACAAATGATTGCCTGTTTCTTCGGTATTGCTGGTCATGTGGCTACGGTGGCATTAGAGGATTGAAAGACAGTGAATTCTGAGTGGTAGGTACACAACCATTTGTTTGCCACAAGTTTTTGAAGAAATCCAAAAAAATCAAACAAGAGGCGAATCATCCTTCACCATGACAAAGCCAGCTCCCACACGGCGGCTCCAACAATGGCATTTTTGACTGGTCAAAAAGTTGAATTAATGGGTCACCCACCATACAGCCCTGATTTGGCCTCCAATGACTGTTTTTATTCCCAACTATCAAAAACAAACTACGAGCACAGCGACTTTTGACACCTGAAGAAGCTGTTGCAGCATTCAAATTGCATATTCTGGACTGGTTCATACGCATGAAAAAATGTATAAATCTTAATGGAGAATATTTTGAAAAACAATAAAACTGATTTTGTTCATATATGATTGTGTTTTCTTTGTTAGGCTAGAAACTTAATTAGCAACCCTTGTAATAAAAAAAAAGTGAAATTCCACTGATACTTAAATAATAAAAGCCAATATTAGTTGTAAATAAAACATGAGTTTATGTTATATTTCTTATACAATCAAAATAAACTTTACCGAGCCATGGCTCGGTCCCCCAGGACTTTATATAATATACACAACATTAAGAGAAAAAGAAACTTACAGGTACATTGTAGTCTACGACCCTTTTGACTCCAACAAGAACTTTAGCCATCGTTATTTTTTTATTATTTATATCACAAAAATGTTCTGTTTATTAAAATGTAGGCAAAAATAAAGATTGTTATATTGCCAAGATATTGTTTTAAATTCACATGAAGTCTTCACATGAATATAGGTTCAAATAGCTTTAGTTCTACAGAACAATATCATTAGGATCACAGTCATGAAAACTAATGAATGGATAAGTGTATAATAATCTTCATAGTTGTTAAACAATATCCTCCCACCATCGTTACTCATATTTAACATTATGACATCATAGAATGTTTTTAAATAACTATTACTTATCTGTTGGTTATCTTGTAAATAAATCAGTAATATCTGAGAAAAGTGTTCAGGTTTGAATGTGCAAAAATGTGTGTGTGGTTTAAGTTTAATTTTTGGCGCAAAATATATTTAAATAAAAAGATAAGACTTACGATAATTAAAATTCTTGTTATGGTGTTTGCTGATATTTTGTAAAGAAAAGATCTTGTTATATTGAGATTTATTGTATTTACACAGAAGTTCATTGAATGATTTAGTTGACTGGTAATGTTTTAACAAGCTGTACAAAAATTAGTATAAAAGAATTAGGCTATTTAAAAAGGTAATTTGGATTATTAAGGCCATGAAACAAAACCAAGGTATTTTTTTGGAGACTTCTACAATATCAAAATCTTAAAAGACAAATTCACTATCTATATTTTAATAGGCAAGCATGTTTCTTAAAAACCTTTTTCTCAGCTCGTGTGCATCACAGGGAAAATCTAGTAGATGTGTAGAATGTGTAATTTAAAATAGGTTCAAAAATAAGCACAAAAATGAATTTAAAGTTTAACAAAAATTAACATGGACCTTATGTGTTGCCATGCTAGTGACAAAATATAAACAGAAAATCAAAACAAATGGAAGAAATTCCAATCACATGCTTTATTTACAGCGTGGGGTAAAAATAGAGAAGTCTGTACATTACATATTTTTGGTTGAGTTTTCGAACACTGGACAACTTCTAGTAAGAGTAGAGGAAAGTAAAAAGATGACAACAAGTAATAACAAGTACCATTTTACTTCCAGTATAAATACAATATAACAACAAAAATATATATCAATGACACATTTTATTAGTTTACAATGAAATGTCATAGTTTCTAATAAATATTAAAAAATGTTATTAAAGTTGGCATCTTCAACCACCAGCAGTACCACATTACTTTTGATCTGAAAAAAGAAAACTATAGTTAGCCTAATCTCTAAAATTTGACTAATTTACTCGTACTTATAATATAACTAATTGCTTAGTAAAACTCAAACTTACCGATATTAACAGATATTATTTTGTAAACAGAATTTGGTATACTATATAGGGGATCTGGACTGTTACAGACGAGAACCTGTTATCTCTCCTCTCGTCTCATTTCCTACTTCAGTAGTCATAGTTTGTCAGATTACATTATATAGTGTGTCATATTACAGAAAGGAGCATGTTGGATTAGGATTATAAAATAGAGTTTGTCAAATTATCAGGATTGTTGCACGATGTAAGTCAGTGTCACGACGTGCAAAATATAATTTTTGAGCTGTCTCACGACATCCAATATAAACTATTTGACTGTTGCACGACGTCCAGATCTCATCATGTCCAAAAGTACAGTAACTGCAAAAAAACACAGTCTTTCTACAAGCTTTGGACGTCATGGGATTGGTCGTGGTGCAACACAGCACTTTATACTCTTAAAAACTTAGCAGTAGCACCACGTCCAAAGCTGCTGTCAGTTGCATGACGTCCAGAGCTCCTGCATATGGAGCACGGTTAGATTAGGTTAAGTTTGGTTAGGTTAGGTTAGTATGCACTACAGACGTTAAAACAGTACTCACAGTGTGCAGGCGCTCTGGACGTCGTGGGACAGCGCTGAGCTATTGGACGTTGTGCAACTGGCAGCGGCTGTGAACATGGTGTAACTGCTAAGTTTTTAAAAGTATAAAGTGCGTTGTTTCACGACAACCAATCTTATGAAGTCCAGAGCGTGTAGACAGACTATGTTTATTGCAGTTACTGTACTTTTAAACATGGTGAGATTTGGACGTCAAACAACAGTCATATATTTTATATTGGGCATTGTGAAACAGCTCAAAAATTATACTTTGGACGTCGTGACACTGACTTATATCATTGGACGTTGTGGCACTCGGATGAGGTGTAATGCACCCAAATATTGAGTGTAGATTTTTGTAAAGATTATTTGTTTTCAAAGATAAAAAAGATGCGTTTGACAATGTCAGTTATTAAGTACAAATATAAATCAGCCTATAAAACTTATTATTATGAGGGTAGTAATGTGCAAATTCAAAATCAAAGATTGAATATAAAAAAATTATAGACAGACTATAAACAGATTAACAAAATAAAATATTTAAAAACCCAAAAGTAGGCTAATTAAGCATTTCCAACAATAGTTTAAATTTTACAACAATATTTGAAAATTATAACAATAATTACAAGCTTATGCCAAAAACTGAAATTATTTTGCAAGAATAACAAAAAAATATTCAAAACTCAACAATTACTATTTGAGATGGATGTGATACTTGCCTGTTTATACATGTCCGCCCTCTTTGAGCTTGGTGACCAGAGTGTCCACGTCAGGCAGTACAGAGCCAGCCTGTCTCACAGGAGGATCCTCCACACTGACCACCTCTATCCTGGCCCCCGTGTCCACCCCCAGCTCCTTCGCTGTTACCTTCTTTATAGGCTTCTTCTTGGCTTTCTGAAATTGGTTTCAATCAGAGAGTTGTTCATAGCCTTACAATGAAAAATACTACATTGCCACCAGTTCAATATTGAGATTGAATAAAAGTATTGATGTCTGAACATGTCTTTTGGTTAGGATATTGCCTGTTCGGATAGTGTTCTGCGTACAATCTCGCCGCTCCTCTTGCACTGCCACGAGCCATTCCAAAAAAGCAGTCCATATCACAGTACTCCTCTGATGTGTTTGCTTACATTCAGGACTAAACAGCCAACTTAATAATGTAAAAACACAATAAATAATGACTTTAACTAGGTTGTAAGAATTGTAAGCAACTAGTAAAGACTTGCAGTAATGTTCAGACGACAATACTTTCATAAATAACAAAAACAAATGATTCAATCAGATGTTATGTTTTGAAACTCCTGATTGACGTATAACAGATGATTGTAAAGGTATTTAGACAATGTAAAAGGAGTATTAGCATTGTTTAAATGGAGAAAAGTCATCATGTATTACAAAAAGAACACATTTCTCTGTTATTATTTATCCATTCTTAACAAATGAGGTATCATTGAACAATGCATAAAATTTACTAACATTTTTGTCTCTTGAAATTTTTTTGTAAAGTTAAGGGGTTTTTGTGAAATTTGGTTTTACAGTATTACAATGGGTCGGCACCCAAACTATTTAACAGCAGAGACCCATATGGAAAGAACTTTAAAGAACTAATCAAGTCCTTAAATAAATTGTTAAGAGGTAAGGTTTTACAAGTGGCAAAGATTTTTCTCTGCAATCTGAAAATAAATGGGGTTCCTATTCTAAAACACACCAGGAAAACGTTTGTGCTGGGGTTTATAACCAACATTGATACTCTAATGGCCCTAACCACGATACTACTTACCAATAAAGGTTTTAAGTACTTTTTGGCATACAAATTGTCCCAAGATAATTTGGAACGGTTTTATTTTTGCATTAGAGCTATGGGAGGATGCAATAACAACCCTAATGTGTAACAGTTTAAATGGGCTCTAAGAAAACAAATGTTTAGGAACAGCGTTCAATGCAGTGACGGCTCTAACTGCATTGAGTTTGATCCACACGTTCAAGCTTCTATTTTAGGTACCACAAATGCAAATGACACAGTAACATCAAATGAACATTACATTGTTCATTACTATAAAAATAATTATTTAAAATAACTATATTAACTGTTTACAGACTTATTATTAATTTAAGAATGGCTTCTTATAAATATATTATACAGGGTGTCCCGGAACTCTCTACCAATATTTTAGGGCATTGCTCCTGGGTAAGAAACATAACTAAATATCATATTTAAACTGTCCGGAAGTCCTTAGTTACTCACACAGCCGCCATTTTGTTTTTTTCAGTTATTAATTTTTTTCTAAAGAATGGTTAAACATACGAAATGGAAACTTTGCACAAACATTTATGACAACTAGACAAAGCTGCAAAAAAATTATGAAGATTTTTCAAATTCATAAAACAAAATGGCGGCCATTTAAAATTTGTGTAAAATCAATGGTTTTTGAGTTTTTTAAGAAAGAAAATTTTAAATGGCCGCCATTTTGTTTTATGAATTTGAAAAATCTTCATAATTTTTTTGCAGCTTTGTCTAGTTGTCATAAATGTTTGTGCAAAGTTTCCATTTTGTATGTTTAACCATTCTTTAGAAAAAAATTAATAACTGAAAAAAACCAAATGGCGGCTGTGTGAGTAACTAAGGACTTCCGGACAATTTAAATATGATATTTAGGTACGTTTCTTACCCAGGATCAATGCCCTAAAATATTGGTGAGAGTTCCGGGACACCCTGTATGTAGGGCCTACTATAGGCTAATATGTTTTTACAAACATACAGTATTATGATAAACCGATAGTGATAAAGGTTTGAAGTAAAATCAAGGTGTTTAACCAATAAAACAACAGGTAAAGACGAGAATTCGCCGGCATCTCAATGCTATCGGTGGATCGCGGACCCCTTACAGTGGTGTTGGTTGTTGGGAGCGTGCCAACTCAGTGTTGTACGGAGTCAGCGATCCAGTGTTATTATAAATCTATGATGTGAACAGCTCAACTGGTAGTTGCCAGCTACCCTTTCTTCATAGTTACCCCGTCTTCGTACTGAATGCTTTGATATGTTTTTTTAAGTTTAAAAAACAGCTAGACATTGTGTTGATTGGAAATAATTTACCAGTTGTGTGAAATTATCTTGTTTAATTTTTGCGTCAAACATGTTTATTCCTAAAAATTATTATCCTAATTTTAAAACCACTTTATCATGTAACATGTACCTTGTAATTTATTTGTTGTAGACTACTTAATACTACTTAACAATATTATTAATATATGTATTTTTACAACATTTTGTAATTTTTTATGACAAAACTGATGTCATGTATTTGTAGAATGGTCAAATAAATTATTGATTCTTGATTCATGGCCATTCAGAGTAAAGCTAAGTTAAGGTAAAGCCTTTATCTTAACTGTGTTTTTTTCTTGACATAATCCTCTTGGGAGTAAAAGGTTTTAATAATGTGTGGTACCGGTACAGTCATTGTTGTTAGAAAACCATGACTGTAGGATACTATCCATTTTCATGGTAATGTCAAAGTAGCCTATTAAAATTTAAAATAATGGTTTAAATACAATTTTCTGAGAAGAAAAAAAAACAAAATACAGGTAGCCGCGTACCGTATCAATTTTGTAGCGAGAACCGAGGTACAAAATATTGTACTGTAACCGAACTGTACCGACCTTAAACTTTCTGTAGACCCCTAAAATATATATATACATTTATTTTATTTATATATAAAAAATGTAACATAAATATATAGACTTTTGAGACTATTTCATAGGTAATAAGAGAGTTCCTATTCTTGCTCAAAACGTAAATGGACTTGCTATTAAATGAGGTCAGGCTTTTCAGGGAAAGTATGTGTAAATTGAATTTAAACTTTTGTAGGTCTCTGGAAGCCAGATAACATATCTGATGGTATAAGTATTAGAGGTAGGACCTATATCTTTGTGTTTACCATGATGTTAGGCAATGTTGCATATCGAGGCTCATTGAGACGTAGATCGGCGCTGATGACAGCTGGAAGTTTTATTTTGATAGTTTCCAGTCCTCCATCAATTTCTCTAGTTATTGTCACATCTCCATTTGTTTTCTCCACCTAGGCAAAAGAGAAGAGTTTAAGTTACTTACAAACAGGGTTGGTCTAGCTCCATGTGAGGCTCTCAGCCAAAAACAAATATGAGACACCTTGTGTGACACTAAGCTTGTGAACCCCCAATGAAATAGAGCACAAACAAACAATAATGATAACACCTCAGTATATCATGGTCTATTAATTAGTAAGTTTTAACAAGAAACACCAAAACAAAATACGTCGGCGTAACTGTAGAGCCTGCAATCTGAGTGTGGCAGTAAGCACAAACACTCAGAGCTGAGCTGCCGGCTGTCAGCTCCTGCCTTGCCATACAAATGGACGGGTCAATTTCAATCCGGTAGAGGGGAGGTCGCAATCCTTGCAAAGCTTATAGGGAGCTGCCTTAGAAGTAACTCCGAGTGCTCTCATTGGCCGATAGATGCAAACGTGACATGTATTAGTCACTTGATGATCTGTTACTTTACTTCACCAGTTCACTGTGTCACTCACTACACTACCTCAGTCAGTGTCAGTAGGTGTCTGATTTTTTAATAATTATGGTGTTCAGTAATATTTCAATATTATAGTGTGTAGTATAAGGAATTATACCATTGAAAATGTAAAACAAATATTGTTTGGAAATTTATTATTCGAAGAAAAGTTTTTATTAAAGAGAGTAGTGTTCAGTAATATTTCAATTTTATAGTGTGTAGTATACAGAAATATACCATTGAAAATGTAAAACAAATATTGTTTGGAAATGTACTATTCGAAGAAAAGTTTTTATTAAAGAGAGTAGTGTAGGCCAACTCCGAAACTATATTACAATTTTGAGTTAAGGTGTTTTTGCAATCTTATGGGATATAATATGTAATAATTACCTAAAAAATGTATTCAATTTCTAAAAAAAAACAGCAAAATTGTGTAATATTGCCTCAGAAAGGTTTATTTAATGATAATTTTTTAATAACAAAAATATTTGGCAGCAATGAACTGCTACGAAGAGTCAGAAAAGTCATATTTATAACCCATACTACCCCCATTACGTCAGCATTTTCCCTTCCACAAGGCCTGTGAACCTCTCAAATAAATGGTCACTAGCCGCCACTGTGTGACACAAAAACTACTAATACATACTACTTTACTGGCCACTTGTACCCAAGCTGGAACTTATAACACGTTGTCCCCAATTCTCTTGATTCCCCGAATCTACAAGTCTCATGGTATCCATGTAACTTTCCGGACTTGACCCCACCACCTGGCCTTTGGTCTTCCTACTGGTGTCTTTCCTCTCAGATCTCCCCTTAGTAACATCTTCAGTAAGCTCTCCTCATTTCTCCTCAAGGTATGCCCAACCCACCAGAGCCTTCTGCTCTTGGCTTCTCCTACAAAATTGGGGTCTCGAAATAATTCTCGTGATTCTTGGATGTGGCAGACTCTCCATACTCATCTTAAGGCCTGTTCACACCAGCGTAGCCAGACGTCTGCAGACATATTCGGTGTATTATTACGTCGCCCGTGCACTGTTCACACCGCAGCTACATTTGGCAGCAACGTAGCCGGTGTGCTGCCACTGCTTTTTACCTGCTTTTTTTATAGGGAAGTAGCTGTTACCATAGGTCTCATAGTAAGACCTAGGCCCGGGACCGATTTACTTTTTCATTTTGATGTCCAGAGACGCCAAAAACACCATCCGTTCAAATTTTTATATATGTATACACTAGCTGTTACCCACCGGCTTCACCCCGTGTAACTTCATAAGTATTAATTCAATTATTGATTGGTTAAGTTAAGCTGAAATAAACAGAAATAGAATACAGTAATACAAACAAATAAGTACATCTTTGGAAGTGGAGTTTTTGGACTTGAAAGAAGTTGGAATTTTATTTAATTTTGATCTACAATCATCTTATAAACACAATTGAAGAAGCATAGGCCTAATTTGCTTACATATATTGCAAATATTAACTGGATTTGACATTACTGTAATGAGTCTTATTAGCCTTATTAGGCCTACCATACACCCATCTTATGGTAAGTTACAACTTTTGGTTTACCTGTTAACTAGGCCTAGCCTAACGAAGATTCAACTTGTGATTTAATGCCAATTGAAGATGCTGCTAAACATATCCAATTGATATTTCCTGCATTTTAGCTTTTTTATTGAGTTTTGGCTAAACATAGGCCTAGCCTAGCCTATATGAAGAAGTGTCTACTTTGCCTTGAATTAGGCCTAGTGCCTGTTTAAAGTTTATTTTTGGATTTTCAAAGATGAACATAGGCCTAGCCTATAGCCTAATGTTTTAACACATATTTATATCGGGCTTACGTCTGATAGGCCTAAGTTATTTCTTAACCTAACTTGAATTTTTCTTGTGAACCTGTTGGCTACCCACACAATTTGTCTGCAAAATGCCTATTTCAGAAAAGGCCAAACTTGAATTGAAATCTCAAATTGATGTCCTTTGTTTTAAAAAGGAAAACTTGAGCAAAAAAATAGATACTGTTTACACGCTAAGCCAAGAAGTAGATTTAAGCCAAGAATCGCCAAATTTCTCTACATTTGAGGTTAGGCTACATAACCTTGACTCACATTATGAAGCCTACTCCAAGTGCATTAATGAAATAATTAAGTTAAGTAAACTTGCTGAGATAACTGTTGACGTAAATGAGTTGCAAAAATCACTTGAAGGTATTGATGAGAAATACTATGCAATTTTGTCAGTGAAAAGTAAACTAGGCTTCAATCCAAACACTCCTGAACCGGAGCCAGCGGTTTCGACTTCAGTTCACTATTTGAATTTACCGAGAATAAGTCTGCCAGTTTTTGATGGTACTTTGCGGGATTGGCCAGGTTTTAAAGACATCTTTTTATCTCTTATCCACGACCAAAGTGGACTTTCAAATATTCAGAAATTTCATTATTTATTGTCCTCCACAAAAAATGAGGCTCTTTCATTAGCTAGAACGTTGCCTGTAACTAATGATAACTATTCAATCATTTGGAAGAAACTTTTGGACAGGTATGACAACAAGCGTGTACTTGCCAATTTTTACATTGATGAAGTGCTGAATTTACCATGTCTCACTAGTGAGAACCCTAACGCTTTGCGCCATATGATCGACACAGTATCTGAAAATAGGCTAGCACTTAAGAACTTGAAATCAGACAACATTGATGATTTTATTTTAGTTCATTTGACTTTGAGAAAGTTAGATAAGAGATCCCGCCAATTGTTTGAAGAAAGTTGTCCCAAAACAGATCTGCCAACCTTTGATAAACTGTTAGAATTTTTGAACAATCACTGCCATGCAGTAGAAATAGCTAGTGAGTCATCTATTACTAAGCCTAATGTAGCCTATAAGCTTAGTGACAAATATTTGCCAAAATCTAGTCAAATATCGAGACTACAGCCTAAAAGGGCAGAGTCGTCCCGGCAAGCATTTTTATCCGCTTTTGACACTTCTGGGAATAAACCTACTTGCCTTTATTGTTCGGATATGCACAACCTTTACAAATGTCCGACCTTTTTAAAACTGAACTCAGTGCAGAGGCGTGAGTTTGTTAGATCCAAGGAAGCTTGTTTTAATTGCTTATCTAGTCAACATATGCATAAACAATGTCGTTCAAAATCAAGTTGTCGTAAATGCGCACAGCGGCATCACACTTTGGTACATGTGGATACTACTCCCGAGTCTCAACTTTCTTCTGTACATAGGCCTAGAAGCTCTGCTGGTGAGGTTGTCACTCAAGACAATGAAATCAAAACCAGTTGTACGTCTCAAATTGTTATGTCTACTGAAACCTTGTCTTATGTATTGTTGGGCACTGTTCAACTTTTAGCTCAGAATGTAGCTGGACAATTTGTTAAAATTAGAGGTCTAATTGATCCAGGTTCACAAATATCATGCATTTCTGAAACATGCGTTCAAAAACTTTGTTTGCCTCGCATCAAGTACAATGTACCAATCACTGGTTTGTCCCAGGTGCCCATTTCAAAACCTAAAGGAGTTGTAAAGTGCGTTTTGAAATCACCTCATAGTGATGACCTTGAAGTAGTCACTACTGCTGTTGTACTTAATCGTATCACAAATCATCTTCCTTCTCGTAAGCTGAAGTCATGTGTTCGAGAACATTTTCATCACATCCAGTTAGCGGATAACAACTTTGACAACATTTCGCCAATTGAATTTTTGCTTGGCGCTGATATTTTCCCCCAAGTTTTTGATGGAGGAAAACTTTTTATTGCTGATGGTTTACCCTCTGCATTTCACAGTATTTTTGGATGGGTTTTGTTAGGCTCAGTTGATTCAAAGTATTTTGAACATTTCAACCCGTCAAGCGCATCGCCTGTCATGTCCAACTTATGTCTTCTTGCATCACAATCAACACTTGATGAAAGTTTAAGGAAGTTTTGGGAAACGGAAGAAACTCCTTCAAAACCAGCGTTAAGCCCTGATGATCAATTTTGTGAAGATCATTTTCAGCAAACCCATACCCGTGACAGTAGCGGACGGTATGTTGTCAAACTGCCCTTTAAAGAAGACCCGCCTACTTTAGGAGAATCATTTCAACCTGCTCTGCGTAGACTATATTCTTTGGAACGGAAACTTCACAAATCTTCAGATTTAACTTCAGTCTATTGTAAATTCATGACAGAGTATGAAACTTTGGGACATATGACACTGTTATCTCCCGATGACACATCTTCTAAATACTTCATCCCACATCATGGTATTTTTAAAGATGAAACACAGCCTAATAAATTCAGAACAGTTTTCGATGGATCGGCTCAATCCTCAAACGGGAAATCACTTAATGACGTCCTTCATGTCGGACCTAAGCTCCAAAAGGACATAACTGATATTATTTGTCGCTTTCGCTTTCATGAGATAGTCTTCACTGCTGATATCTGCAAGATGTACCGCCAGATTTTAGTACATCATGAACATCAACCTTACCAAGTAATTTTATGGCGATCATCCCTCGATAAGCCTGTAAACAAATATGCTTTGCAAACTGT